CCATAGATTCTGGGCCAGAAGGCCGGGGAACGCTGACGACCGAGGGTTTGGCATATGCCTTTGTGACCCTAAAGTCTTCACGGAGTGCGATGGCAAATGCCTCCTCCAATGTGGCAGTCTCGGCGCGCTCCAGCGATAAACGGGTCTGCCCTCACGCATACCATCCACAAAGACATTTACCTGCGTGTACATGTCCATGGGGTGCGTGATAATACACGACGCCAGATGCCTAGCCATCTGTTCGTAGTCGCGCATCGCCATTTTACCCTGTCGCATCGACAGGAATCTTGATCGCACCAGTTTCTCCTCTTGCGGTGGCTCGAAAGCAAGACGAAGATCGTCCTGGATGGTATCCAAGGTGGGGAATGCGTGCTCGTCCACAACGAGCTTACCAAGGGCCCACTCCTTGTCCTTCCCGGTGAGGCGGGAAAGAAGAAAGTTGACCTTCGCCTGGGGCGCCTCAAGAAGTCTCGAGGCGATGGCGATATCAACTTCTCGGAACCACCGATTCAGCGATAACCGATCCTTACCTTCTTCAGAGTAGGAGGAGGTTTCCATCTTCACGGCCTCATTACGTGAAGGGCGCGAGGGAGTTAAGCCTCGCCGGTTGGATTCGGCGAGATTGCGTGCCATAAACTCATGTATGGCGAGACGTTGCGCGTCAGGGGTCGCTGATCTCATCATCGACGCGACGAATGCCTCTCCCGATATCGCCGCGAGGCGATTAAGGGCATCCCACTCAACACCAGTAAGATGGGGGAAGGTCGCGTGCTCCAGAAATAAATCTGGAGCGTCAAAGTACGACGATTCGCTCATCCCAAACTCGGGCATAGGAAGGACTACAAAGTGCTACCAGGTGTAACGGGGCTAGAACGTACCGTCACTAGCTTACACGTGCGCTTGAGGAAGACTCAAGCCCAAGTATTAGGTATTAAGTAAATTTAACTCTGATTTTTATTTTGGTTTTAATTCGTACTAATTACGAAGATTTTAGTCGTAATAAATACGACAGTGTTCCTGCCTTTCGGGAACCACACAATTTCAGGTTGATTTATCATTGGTCCATATTGGGGACTTTAGGCCCAATAATGAACCAATAATAAATTACCACGCTGTGCCCGCTATTCGGGCCCAGCACCTGCCTACATATGTAATTGTTTATTTGTGTAATACTATGTGTGTAATGTAGCCCATTACATACCTACGATGTAGCCCAGCACAGGTATCTCGGGGACCCGTATTACGCACTTTTGCAAGTTAACGCATAGCTAGGCGTCACCCAGAGACTGCAAGACAGCGTCTAAATGGCGCTTGTGCGACTCGATTGCGCTCAGACCGTCCTCCGCCTTACTATGCACGAATACATCGTCAAATTAATGGGGCGCATAGGCACGGTGCTGACGCATCACGTGAGACACCACTCGGTTGAATGTTGCTGGAGCAATTTTCAACCCTTGTGGCATCACAAGCCACTCCCACAGCATACCGCTTGAGGTGCTTCCTGCCGTTTTGGCTACATCAGTATCTTTCATGAGAATTTGATAGTAGCCATCCTTCAGATCCAACGCGTAAAAGATAGTTGACTTTCCCATGGAATTCAACAAGACATCTTTCCGCGGGATACCGGAATGTTGGCCTTGTTCAGCTTATTATAAGCATGAACCACGCGCCATCCACCTGTTGCTTTACGCACACAGAAGGTCGGGCTGCAGTGAGGCGACTTGCTTTCGCGTACATGTCCCGACTTGGCTCGTTTGTCGAAGAACTCATCGACATAATCGACTTGTTCCTCCGGCAACGGCCATTGCCTGGTCACACAATACTTGGTGCCAGGCTCCAGGTCAATCTCGTGCCTGATGCCCCTATCGGCCGGTAGGCGACTCGGCACTTGTGCTGGAAACACATCACGGTGTTTCCACAGAACATCATAGAACGGGCTGTCCTTCAAGGCATCTCAGCCTTGAGCAGCGAACCGTTTCGTCTTTTCGGTCTCCAAGACGCTCTCGTCCATTGTGGACGACAAGCAACAGTCCACCACGTTCTCTTCTAGAACTGGTGCGACTATCTCGTGGATCATTCCTTCCTTTAGTTCGGACAGGAACAGATCCCACGCCATTTCCGAGAGATTTACAATCTCCTCGGCATATACCAAGACAAGTTGGAGCGCCTCAATTGAGTACGTCTCCGACATCTTGTCTTCGACGACCTCGAAAAATTTGTTCGTAGGTCTGTCCTCTTGGACCGAGACTGATCCAAGGGTCACTCGGTTCGACGTTTTCTTGATCGTCTTAATACGTCTGGTGCTCGTGTTCGAGTCACAACGACGTTTGACCTGGAATAAAGTGTCGTTGCTGCTAAAGCCAACGCACCCCTTCCAACCGCACCAGGCTCATGTCTCTGTGCCGTTTCTTGTGGCGCTTGACTTCCTGTCAGCTCACCATCAACTGCCACAGACTCTCCTCTCTGTGAAGGAACATTGGATGCATGACTACCTGTCATCGTCCCATTCACTACACCAGTCTCCTCGAGGTGGGTACAAGTATGTGTCATCTGAATTCCTGTCAGGAAACTTCCAACTACACCAGGTTCAACGAGCTGGGCAGTACCTGGTGCCGATTGACATACCGTCATCGCACCCTCGACTTTGTTCGACACAGTACGCGTTACACAAGCTTCTCGAAGGATCACATTCTTTTAGGTGTCCTGTGTAGAGCTAGTGACTGTGCGCGTACGCCAGTCTATCCATGGTTGGTGTTTAGCCAACCAAGGCATGCCTAGGATGAGGTCATACGGACTCTCCGTACCTAGCACTGAAGACTTATTTTTACAAGAGAAGTCACTGAAGCTGAAATAAAGTTAAACCTTAAAATATCTCCTATTTTACGAGCGCGCCGTGTGTGTGTGTGCGCTAAACGGACGGTCGCCTCTTCTCGCTTGCCATCCTGGTAAAGCGACTCATAACTCGCCGGACTCGTTTTCAGAGCCGCCTGTTTCAAAAAAATTGTGATGCACCCGAATCAACAAGAAGGGACGTCACTTGGTCACAGCCTCGTACTTGAGCTCTATACACCAAAAGGGTTAAGGTCCGACCTTTTGGTACCTCAGGTACTTTGCTACCCATTTGTTCGATAACTATAAGCATAAGGGTAGCATCAGAGTCCGCGACAGTAGGGCATCCCACCCTACATTTCCGACCCATCTTGGGCAGGTGCTACCCCGTGCGTTGTGCACGCTGGTTCTTCGCGCTTTCCTTCGGGTAGGAAGCCTTTTTGTTGGCTGCCTTAGCACCAGCAGCAAGTTTGGGATAGCAGCGAGCCATCATATGGCCGCGCTTGCCGCAATTGTAGCAGATCACGTCTGCATTGTCTAACTCCATTGGATTTGCATCCGACTTCTCAGCCGATGACTTATAATAAGCTGTCGCCGAGGCACTGTTGTAGGATTGCTCCTCAACCATGGCAATATCAATTGCCTCTTTCATTGTCTTTGGCATCTTTCTGAAATGGCCTGACACGATGGGCCATGCCGTAGTCCATTCATGAACGTAGGCACCTGATTGTGTTCCGGTATCGGACCCACATTGAAGGATGCAGACAGCGAACGCATCTCCTACACATACTCTTGTAGAGATCGTTTCGCCTGTCGTGCTTTAAAGAAGCGCGCCTGAAGTATCACTTCATTGTTAGGCGGCTGGTATATGGCACGAATCTTTGTCTTAAAATTTCTTACGATGGAAACGCATCAGCGTTTGCCATAATGCAGAGTAATCTGGATTTGCTACGCAAATTTGACATGGCATACGACACCATCGTGGTCTCGTCGTCGATGAGCTGCGCCATACCGCATTGCTCCACTACTAAAAGCCAGTGGACAATCGTATGTGGTGCAGTCTCCATCAAACTTCGGAGGGTCCATCCGAATGTTCCTCGGTTGATGAGACCAGGCAGAGAGCGTCTCAACAGTTCTTTTGAGCGCCTCATTCCGAGCTTGTTCACACAAAAGCTCATCTTGAGTCTTACCAATGGACTCAGCCGTTCCTTGGCTGTTTGCCTCGGACGCATTTATAGGCTATCCGTGCAGCAACGTCTCAAATTGATCTAATTGAGCATCACGTTGCTCAGGAGGAAGCGATGACACCTCAGAACGTGTCGGTACTTAAGATGCAGACTCCGCGACGTCAAATGATGGGCAGTTTTGTATATAGCAAAGCGTTTGCATTCATGATTCCACAGTACATACCCAGTATATATGCTATCAGCGTAAGCCTCGTGCACCATGTCCGTCTGAATGACGGTACGTACGTGCTCTAGTGTTGTCAATAGATAATCTGGCGAATCTTTTTTACATCGGCCAACCGGGACTGCTCAGCCATCCTCCTCACCAGCGGAATGTTGTTAACGCATCCTGCAACACTCGAAGAAGAACAGAGACATATGAGTCTATTATTGAGCCAATAATAGTTAGGGATGTCTGGTAGTTCTAAAGCCTAGTAAGCAACGCCAATTCCTCGTTCGAATCCGGTATTTTTGCATAAAGCATGTCGCCTGCGGTGACGGCGCTCTTAATTGTCTGGTTATGGCGCATTAACATTGCAACGTTTGAAAAAAACAGGATTGACGTCACTAGCGAATCCATTTTGAGTGTTAGCAAACTTTCAACGCACTTCCGCCAAGGGATCCCATGCTAGGTAGCGACACTGACAGTGGTGCCACAATCTATATCGGCTACTCCTCTTTAGATGACTTTGACGATCATGAATGACACTGTCCAACGGTTCTTCGACCCGATCAACGGTAATGTTAGCCGATACGTTTCAGCCAGCAAGTGAATGATCTCGAAATAGTGGTGTCACGATAGCATTGCAAGCACTAAAACAGTTACACTACGACAGATAAGACATGGTTAAATTTGGTAGAAGGTAGCGAGATGTCTAAGAATAACTCTTTTTCGTAACCAGAGCTATTTTTAGGCCTCTCGTTGCCACTACTGTAGACGACAACATGGGTGAAGATCAAAAGCTATCTGGCGTCTTCATCAGCAAGCTCACACACACCGCAAACGCGCAACGTCTTCTATTTGAATTAGCGGCAATGCAGGATTTGGATTCGAGTTTGGACTCGGATCTGCTCAATTTTGACACTCTTTTCGCCTCCAGTAATGACGAAGAAGTGAATAGTAAGCGATAACGTTCACCAATTTACCGGCACGTCAAAATCTAACATGATCTTCATATTTTTCTAGACTTATGGGCATTAACCGCGACTTCAGGTATTTGCCACGATGACGATCTACTTGACGTTGCTGATCTCGAACCTCTCAGTCCAATGAAAGACAAAACTCCTATAGATCAGGAGCAAGTTCAAGTACAACAGGAACCTTTGCATAATCTCGGACTAACGATCAACACCAAGCTCGATAACAGCTCTACGAAAGGACGGCTAGCACAGTTTCACAACCTTAAGGCGAATGGGTCCCCTACATCCGCGTTGCCGACACGTTTTGCGTTGCTTTCCACGACGTGCGTTTACGAGCCGGGATTTACGACATCGCCACGAGGGAAGCGCCGAATTAGCCAAACGCACGATACACAAATTGTTGATCCACAAGAGGACAGCGAAGGCGAAGATGGAAATGGAGACGAAGTAGCAGACGATGAAAACCACGAACCGTTCATTCTTTCGGGTGCTGATGACTACGGTCTACCAGTTTTTACAGACGCCGAACTATCAGCCATGGTGGAGTCGTCTTTGAACACGTCGTCGACTTCGATCTCTTGTGCGGCCCTACTTTCGCCGCGTGGGCTTGCTAATGAAGAAACTTCACGCAGCAACCCTACTTTTCTGGATGTTGCAAATACTTTACCAATTAGTGCAGAGGCTGGTGGAACCGAACACGCTAATTCGTTTGTCGATAACATGCTGAGCACCAGCTACGACAACACGCAAAACTTTCCAGAAGCGCAGCATCGAACTATCGATCTCACGGGCATTGCAAACAGCAGCACTGCTGTGCCATCTTACAGTATAGCTGCAGCCAGTCCGGCCATGTTTGCTGCCGAACCGGTCCAATCGCTCAATACGACGCCTGTTTTGCCAGTCTCGATCGCACCAAACGACGCCGCTGGCACCCCACTTGACCACTTTTCACCCTCGGGCTATGCAGCGGCGGCAAACGAGTTTTTGGACAGCTACAGCCAACACGTGCAACCATTTTTCTTGAACCCAGGTGCAGGTCTTTACCAAAATCAGCCAACCCAGACAACTACTGCCAACGCTCAATTCGCGATGGCGATGGCGAACCCATCTGTCATGGACACGATGTTCAAAATGAACGCAAACTATAGAGTGCCTGCTGACCACGGAGCTGGTTCTGTGCCCCCTCCAACGCAAGTGAAAGCAGGAGCGACTTTGAAATTACGATTGCCTCCCTCTGCTTCTGCACCTGTGAGGGGCAAAGGCAAACGTCTTGCCGTCACCCCGGACATTGCAGATTTTAAGCTCGTGCAGATTTTTCACGAGTTTTGCGATCCGATGACAAAGGTACTTACACCGCTGCGATTCCAGCAATTGTTACTGCATCATCAGATCACAAAGGATCCTGCAAGTGAGTTCGACTCAGCAACGGATGTGTCTGCTGACGTTCAAAAGCTGTTTACAGTGCTAGATACTAAGGGCGTGGGCTTACTTGACCTTGAACGTTTCATGCACTCGTTTCAGATTTGTAATCGCTGCACGGAGGCCAAGCGTCGAGCTCACCAAGCTTTATGTGCCAGTCAAGGCCAGGCATTTACACCCACGTCACTCGAACGACAATTGATGGAGGACGTGGCTCCTGTTGTTGTGCGAGTGGTACCTACGAGCTTTGAAGGACACAAAGTCAAAAGTTGTGACCACTATCAATGGACCTGGTGTGAAGGCTTTGCCAAGACCGGCAATGAAAAGTGCCGAGGCACTAATCGCCATGACAAATGTCCCAAGTATCTTGCCAATTGCACTCTTTGGAAACATAAACTTCCACCAAAAAGCCGCAAGCCAAGAATTTTGTTGGAAAATGTCGACTCGCCTACGAAGAAGATCAAACATTTTTCCTGATTGAACAATGCAGGACGCGTCGGTATTTAAACTATAAACGCATTACAATCGACTCGATTGCACCTAAACGTATTTATACTGGTTTGCCAATCTTTCTATATAGTGTCAAACAAGCTGATCGCGAATGCCGCTTCATGATCGACCCTGGTAACTATAGTGGATACGGCAAATGTCAATGAGAAGTGGTTGTTCTAATGTATTTATACAACGAAAATGAAGTTGTATGTTACATTAACGAATACGTGTTAGCAAGAATTGTATCGAAATCCCGGTCCAGATTATTGCTGGATAGCAGCACTCAAGTACTTCTTCATTGTACTTCTGATCTTGTCCAGTCCAGACGAGCTGATGTCGAACCAGGAAACATCCAACGCTGTTAAAGGTGCATCAGATCCAGTAGCGTCCTCCTCGATGCCATCTTGGATACTTTCCAGCACAGAACGTACCGATAGATTGTGATTGGTTTTCTGCCCGTCCATTTTCTGGGTAGTGGCGTTTGACTGCAACATCTCTTCAGCTGAGGGCTCATTCTCTACATCAAGAAGCGTCTGGAATCTGCTTACAACATCCTTTGCATCGACCCGAGCGCTGAGAACGGCGCCACGTCGAATCTTTGTGCATTTCTCGTGCTGTTTCGAGACTTCAGCATTTACTCCTTTCGTGCTTGGTTGTGCGTGAGCTGACCACAATTCTTCGATTGAGCAAGTGTGTGGTACGAATGAGCACAAGGTTTTGGCCACAATCGCGAGTTGGTTGTGCAGTGGGTCACCTTCGTAATCACCCCAAAACTCCATCGGACTGGACGTGTTAGCGGCGTTCCACACACCAGCCTCACCAAAGTCCCCTTGCTGCTTCATATAGTCGTTGTACGAACGAATAAACTTATTCTCGTTGAAATTATGAACGAGCGTAGTGGCAATACGAACAGTAATACCACGAGCGCGGCGCAGTCCTGACACACTCAAGCCAGCTCCATGTACACGTGGATCCAGAACTAGACAAGCCACAAAGTGCTCTTCCACGTAGCAATCCATACGCTGCAAGAAACTTGAAATTAAGGCGTCAGAATTCCCATCGAGAAGTGGTGAGCGCGTCGACGCGCCAAACAGCCATATCCACAGCGCTAGCAGCTGACCTGATGTCGTAGTTTGCATCTCACTCAGGGCGGATACAAAATGTAGCGGCGCTAGTAGCTGAGCGGTGTGTCGTATCGTGTTCCAGGCCATGTCACTGCTACACATATCAATCAACTGACGCAGTATCGATGAAGAGGACGATGTGTTCTCTTCTTCAGAGACTGCCCGCCGCAAAAATGGTTCCAGACGGGTGGCCTGCTTAACTGCCATTGCAATAGAGAGCCAACTTGTCACAGATACTTGGGCAAAAGCATTAAGATTTGTCTCGACAGCGCTGTTATTCGCGTAAACACCATGAAGTACGTGGTGACGCAGCGAAGGCATAACGTGTAAAGCATCTGCAGTCAGTACAGCATTGTCAAGAGCTTCTTCTAGCGATAAGCTGCACAGTACAAGTTCATGAAGAAGCAGTGCCGTCTGCTGGATCATGCACGCCCCCATTAGAGCGACAGGTTTGCTAGTTGCATTGGCACTTCGAAGCAACTCACGACGTGCATGCGCATAAGCTCCCGACGTTGGGGTGCACAAGAAGAGAGTCGAGTTCGGACTGGCTAATTGCAGTTTGGATAACACAGATAACATCTCCGTCACACAAGGTGCTTTGAACGCGTTGCTACCTTCTGCCAACACAAATGCACGTCGCCACTCATCCAATGCCACGTACGTCGTTTCTTTTGTTCCTCCAGCGCTAACACTAGTGTTATTGACCACCAGTGTGATGGCATTAGAAGTAGCCAAAACGGCGTTGCACTCGCACTGGTACTTTAGAGACAATCGATTCAGTACCTCAGTACGTGCACGATGTGATGTCAATGGAAAAGTATCCGACGACGGATGCAACACCTCCATTGCCGCATGAAAGTCCGCATTGTCCAGTAATCTCCAGGGGGTGTTTGTAGTGATCATAGCAGTCGTAAGCTTTTCTTCAAAGTGTCGCAAATTGGGAACATCACACTTTGCTACTTGTATGGGTGGAGCCGACGAAGATTTTGTCACAGTCGGTGACTGCTCAATCGTTACTGTCGATGACTTGATTGTTGCCGTCGGTGACTTGAACGTGGCCATCGACTGTATCGGCGTAGCAACAAGAGTTGCTTTGGCTAGAGGGTCTACTTTGGGGACATCTTCGACCTTGCAGGACATGACTCCGACCGATTTCGCGTACTTTGCCTTGACATCTGGTGGTACTTGTGAACATTTGGTGGACAAATGAAGTTTCAAGCGTCCACTTAGTTGGAAAGTGTCTTCCTGACAATACAAACAACGCATTTTCTTTTGATTATTGCCAGGAGTGGACGGAACGTCCTCAAAATGTTCATAAACGGGGCCACGTTTACGACCAGCCGTTAATTTTGACTTGGTTCGATGGTCGTCACTTGAAGTTGCCGATGACGTCATCACGTCTGATAACGGGACTGGATGGGGACGAACCGGTACCCCTTCCCCTGCCAACGGGACAACTGCAACAAGTAGCTGTGTCTTATACATTTCCTCCCAATCTGGATGTTTTATGCGCAAATGAGTCAGCAAGTTTGTGTACCCCGTACTGACAGCTTGTGTGTACACATTGTGACACAGTTTGCACCGGTGACGGTTGGTATTGACTAGTGACACCCGCTTTTTGCGACCTTTTTTCGTGACTGATGATTGATTAGAAGGTAAAGAAAGTAGAGATAGAGATGAAGCATTAAGATGCGAAACATTTGGATCGTGTACGGGTTTGAAGAAGAAGCTACAAATGTCCCCAGAATTCGTCATTATGGTGGCTTTCCAGCTGTCAAAGCGAAAATTATAATTTAAAATCTAGAAGGAAATTATTGTGTCGTTAAATAGTACAATTATAAGCGAATTATAATTAATTATACAAAATAGATTCACTGATCCAAATATTAAAAAATAATAATTAAGAAACGGGCACTGCCTAAGTATTTTGCTCCTGATTTGCACAGCCAAAAAAACCTCCCATAATTTATTTAATCCGGCGGTCAAGGTTTACATGCGTAATCTAATCTGTCAGCCTTGAGCTCTCCAGATTCAAGTCAACGAAACTCTCTTTACCCACATGAAGGCGCTACTATCTTCTTCATAGAAAGTAATGATCAGTCGAGGCAAAAAAGAATACCAACATCTATAAACATGAAAGAATTCAATGGTTTGCCTGTTACCCATTGCGATCCTCATCTCCCCTCTGCTTGACATACAAGCCTTTCTCTACTGACCATCGACGTTGCCACCTTCGTTGTAGCTACGTGCAGTCATGGCGTATCAAGAATTCAGGATTCCTAATTCACTTGTAAGCCACACGTTCGCTCTCATGACTTGTCTGGCTCAATGCAATTATTTGCTCTGCTTTAGCTGGCGCACGTAGTTGCTAAGTCGGTGCTGGGCCTTGTTGGCAATCTGCTCACAGAATACAGCATAACACGAACAATCAAAGTGAGTACAAATCGAGCCCGCCAAACAGAAGATCAACCAAGAATCGTACGTCAATGGAAGGATTGATAGCAAGCAGCGCGCGAATATCTTGCAAAGCAAGACGGTAACGCTCCAAGCCCTCGTAGGCCAGTGCACGTCGCAGAAGAGCCTTCTGGTTCTTCTCATCGTACTCCAATACGTGAGAGCAGTCGGAAATCACTGCCGAAAAGTTACTGAGCTGTTGGTTGCAAGCTGCACGGTTGTTGTAGCATGACAAAGACAGGTCTGAGCCAGGCTGGTCGTTGCAGACCTCAATGGCCTCGCTGTACAGCTCAATGGCTTTCTCAAAGGCAGCACTCTTGAATGCATCGTTACCACGCTCCTTCAACAGCTCACCAGAGCTCATGCCTGAACGCTTGGCCTGTTCGGCGCGTGCCTGCAGTGGCTCAATTTCCGTGACCAGACGGTTCAGATCGGCATTGTTAAAGTCCACACGTTGGCCGGCACGCAGAGTAGCCAGAGCTTCGTCGTACTTCTTGAGTCCCTTGAGTGCCACACCGTGACGGTGATAACCTGAACAAAACATTGTTATCAGCTGAAATGGGTGGCAGAGGGAACACAACCCAAAACATGTAACGTTTGATAACGTCACGTACCCTTGACGAACTGAGAGTTTACACGGATGCACTCAGCAGCATCATCTGCTGCCTCTTGAAATTTGCCCCAACCAGCGTTCGCAGCACTGCAAAAATCAATACATAAAACGAGTGACGTCAGTGAGAAAGCGAAGGGGGGAGGAAACAAAAGGTCCTTTCATGTCACAAACAAAATGACGGATACTAGAAAGATCCCATTCTATTTCAATAGCTAGCAATACCCCACCTGCGGTTCGAAAAATAAACATGATTGGACGGGTCGAGCTCAATGGCCTCCGAATACTTAGCCACAGCTGTCGAATAATCCTTGTTTTTGAAAGCCTCATTGCCTTCACTATGTACACAAAAGATAAGGAAGATTAATACAAAAGCAAGGACGTAGAAATAAGAGGTGAATGGCAAGACGTACTTCTTCTTGGCTTCAGCAGCGGCGTTGACCATGGTCCTTTGTTAGCTTGTGGTTTGTGGCTCGAGTTGACTATTGTGTGGGTTGCTGATTGGCTGTCGCTAGCTGAGTCGAGGAATTACGTGGTGCACGTAAAACATATGACATTTACCAATTACACGGAAAATAAATTACTTACTGGTACTATTTCGTCACGGCGAATATCCCAAAGTACGTCTTGAAACACCCCATTTTTTGCGAGCTATACCCAAAAGTGTTTTGCACGTACATTGATGTGGTGTACATTCTCTCGAATCGACTATTTACGTTCTCTACACCAATGTATACGCATGAAACACAACCTACGATCAAGGCTTTACACCCTTTCGCAACCAACTAGTAAGTGGATCTAATTTTTTTCACGCAAATGTTGATAAACTTAACAACGGCATATAGGTCCCGCACCTCGACCTCAGCACGACGACCATCTGACGTCGAGCACGAGCCACGCTTGACGCCGGAAGTCGTGGAATCCGTTCCAGCAGAGTAGCTGTTGTCAAGCCAGAGTGCCTAGGTAGCTAAAGCTTGTTTCATCGTTTAAGCGTTTTACCTACAAACGATGCTAATTAGCAGCTACAGCGTTAGCACGCGTCTGCTCGAGTGGCGTGGCCTTCAACTGCACAAACAGCTGTCGCATCCGGGAGACATCCTCCTCGTCCTCTGGAGTCTTCGTAGCAGGCACCGCAACTGGTTGAGGGTCTTGCTTTTCCGAGTTACTGTTAAGTGCCTCGAGCTTCTTCTTGCGGCTCGTCTCCAGGTCCACAAGTGTCACCACACGCTCCCACGGGTTCTCATTCTGCAAATCGGCCACCATCTTTTCAATTGCCGCTTGCTCAAATACGCGATTGGACTGCATTTTGGACTCCTTTATGCGCTGACGTTCAGCTACGAACTGTGCCATATCGTCCTCAGCCTTGACTTTGCACTCATCTGCCACCTTTTCTTGCTCTTGAGCCTTCAACGCAATTTGTTTCTCGTACTCTTGCATAAATTTCCTATCATGTAATAAAAACAGTAAGTAATTTATTAATTTCAGACGAATCATCAGGTCGTATCCTGTTTTGCGAGCGTACGTGAGCTCATTCTCCTCTTCCACGACTGGAATTTGAACACCAAAGTCCATTGGCTCATAGCTCTCTTCCATATGTTGAAAGTGATCCTCGTACGTCTCAGTTCTCGTATTTTCCGTGGGCTCGACCTCGTAAAAACTGTTGCAAACACGTTTTTATAAGACCAAAACGTCAACTGTAAGAAGACTTGACACGATCGTTAGATTATACACGCACTCTCCACTAGTATTTAAGGGTGGTACAAAGTCGGAAACCGCCATGGGCACGCCATTCTCTACGCTTGTGTCATCTCCAAAAGGGTCCATGATTTCAGTGTGTAAGGTGTCGTATACGAATACTTCCCCCTCTTGACATACAAATAATTATGTCGACTTTCCCTCTTGACATTGAACAACGCCTGTGTAACGAAATCGAGTCAATCCAGAGTGCGCCACACCATGGAAAGCCAAAAGTACGAGGTCTTTCTCGACAAATTTAGCGTACACGATCAATTGTATTTTTAATTTGAACTACTAAATAATTGTTAAACTCGAATTATACATAAGAAATGACTATTATTATAGTATCGTCGTGACCAATTCAGAAATGTTTTAGTGCATATTGTCCCGTATAAACTATATCCCAAGGTAGTATACTGAAACTATGTCAATTGTTACCAACGACGTCAGTCTCGTTGTGATTTTATAAATTTACAGTTTGCACTTCTCCCCATCTCAGTCGCTACACGCTCGACAGTCACTCTTACAAGATTTTCTCGTAAGCAAATAGTTCACACTCTTCTTTTACTTTCTTGCTACTATTTTTTCTCTATAAAAGCTCAAGCATAAAGAACAATGGAGAATTATCAAAAAATCGAGAAAGTAGGTGAAGGTACCTATGGTATCGTCTACAAGGCACGAGAACTTTCAACGGGTCGCATTGTAGCTCTCAAGAAGATTCGCTTGGAACCAGATGAAGAAGGAATTCCATCCACTGCAATGCGTGAGATCTCATTATTGAAAGAACTATCATCCCACCCGAATGTCGTATATCTTTATGATGCAGTGTACCAGAAAAACAAGCTCTATTTGGTCTTTGAATTTGTCGAGCAGGACCTTAAACGCTGTCTTGAGAAACTTCCTGCTAGGATGGAGGTCTTCCAGGTCAAGAGTTATCTGTATCAGCTGTTGGCTGGTATTGCCTTTTGCCACGCAAACCGGGTACTACATCGCGACCTCAAGCCACAGAATTTACTCATTGATCAGTATGGAAACCTCAAATTGGGAGACTTTGGACTTGCACGAGAATATGGCGTCCCATTGAGGCGTTATACACATGAGGTGGTGACATTGTGGTATCGAGCACCGGAAGTACTGCTTGGTGCAAAACATTATTCTACACCTGTTGACTCGTGGTCGATCGGTTGCATTTTTGCAGAGATGGTCAATAAGCAGCCACTATTCCCTGGAGATTCAGAGATTGACGAACTGTTTCGCATCTTTCGTGTCCTGGGTACGCCGAACGAGACATTGTGGCCAGGTGTATCGACATTGCCGGACTACAAGTGGTCGTTCCCCCAGTGGCGCCCTCAGTCATTATCCAAGGTTGTGCCTCAGTTAGACCGTGTCGGTTTGGATCTGCTCTCGGTGCGTTCGATCGCTTAATAGTATTTTTTCGTTTAGTGAGTGGCTTTGCTAACCAATGTCTTGCTCTGTTACGTGCAGCGTCTCCTCACGTATGATCCCAGTGGCCGCATTTCGGCCCGTGCTGCAATGTCACATCCGTGGTTTGCCGATTTGCACCCTCAGTACGCCTCATTTCGTAACAATGGTAATGGTAATGGCACGCAGACGTTTTTCTAAGCGGGGGCAACGCATTACGTCTTGTACGTGACAAGAGACGGAGGCAGGGAAGAAAATGCAGGAAATGTATGGGATCAAGACGTCATCACATGCAGCATCAACAACATAAACAGCAACAGTGACAGCACGACAGTACAGCCGGCAGCAGAATAATGGAAGACAACGCTTAAAGTTCAACCTGTTTCCTCGACGATACTTACGGTGATGAATTTTGGGGACCAAGAAACTGAAAGGCAGCGAAGAAAACGTGAATGACGCCACGAAACACTTGTCTTTAATTTGCTGGTGGGATTAACTCGAAGGCGTATATCAAGCCTATTCATCTATGAGTGGCATTTGAATTTGACAATTTTACAAGGCAAACACCTCATTATCTATTAACATTGCACTGAATTAATTAACGAAAACAAAATATTTTTGCCATACCATGTCCAAAATCTTAATTGTTTGACATTCTCACCCAATTTAACGTTCATTTCTTACCAAATGTAAAAACAATAATTGTATTGACTGTAAGTATACCAAAATGAATGGTGCTCCTCATAAACGACACCACGCAGGACGCGATAAAAGTGTAAATGTGACTCACACTTCGTCTCATAAGAAAGCCCGAACTCTTGTGACTCCTCAGACAGCAATAAGAGTTTCAACAAGTAGCAGAGTTCACAGTCGAGACAAAGTGTATCGACATGAGGCGACCGACCCATCCGGGGCCAAAGAGATTCAAGAAGAGGAAGAAATTGAGCAACAAATGGAAGAAATGCACAGTCAAGAGATGGAAGAAGATTCCTTACCTCTTGTTGTGTTTCAATGCAGTACTTGTCGATCAATATTCGGAGATTCGTACGCTTTCGTGAGCTCCACTGAGCAGCTGTGGCTTGTGACGTTGAGTCATGTGACCAACGTGACGTTGGCTCCTGAAGTACAAACAGCCAGTGCAGGACTGGATGCTGGAAGTTCATACTATGAACTATTGTGTCATAATTGCCAGGCTGTTCTTGGACGCAAGTATTTAACAACACCAGTCATATTGGACGGGATTCGAGACTTGTTTAGTTTTTCAACCGAGGCTATCACGTCATACACACTTGGAGAACCGATGCAACAAGTAGCAGATCAAAGTATGCATCAAGCTGCAGCTACGTGTCATCTGACTATGCTCAAGCTAGCAGCGGATCGAAATGAGGTCACGAAATTACGTGACGAGATGGAAAAGGTCAAAATGCTCATGGTGACAGTGGACGATCGACTTGCTCATTTGGAAGGAGCTGACCCTGACTCAGAAGAAGAGACCACACAACCAAAGAGTTCAAAAGTCAAGGCATAAGACAAAAAAACACCTACGACTGTAGAATGAAGGTGTTTCGATATCTCTTTTTTGGCTTTCGTTGGCTTGTCTTGAGGTCCATAGACAGAAGAAGCTCACTGAGTAGCCTCAGCCTGAGCTTCAAAAGCGGCACGAGCTGCCTCAACACCCGTCGGAGGCTTGGCCTTCCGCATCTCACCAGGTCTGCACACAACAACACCAATAACAGCAAGTCAGTTGACAGTTCTCAGCCTTTTAATTGCTTACAAGACTTCTCACCGGTCGACGTATTCAATGATCGCCATTTCAGCCCCATCACCTTTACGGAAATCTGCCTTAAGAATGCGAGTATAGCCTCCCTCCCTCAATCTGCACCAATAAAAGAGATACATATAATCTCCTTCATCTTCTATCTTCCTCTTTCAATAATCCTTCCAAGTAATAATAATACGCACGCATAGCGGGGACCCACGACGTCAAAAAGTTTCGTGAGAGCTTCAGGCGTGCGCAGGACGCTCTGAGCACGTTTACGAGCAGGTTCATCACCTTGTTTGGCCATTGTCACCACTTGTTCAGCAACACGACGTAATTCTTTGGCCTTTGGCAATGTCGTACGAATACGTTCATGTTCAATAAGCTGCGTCACCATGGTACTGTATCAGTCAGATGGGAATCAGATAGCAAGAACTCCTTAGTCAAGTAATTCTAGTATTATCAGTTAATAACCAATGCGGCAGAGAATAAAATTAGTAATAGTACCGTAACATTGCTTGGCGATGAGATGACGTGCGATTGAGTTTACGGAAAGCCACACGGTGCTTCATGATCCGTCTTGAGCTTCTTGCTCCGTCGGTGGTCACGAGTAGCTACTGAAAATGTGTGAGAATTGTGGAAGTGTGTGTGGTACACGTGATTGCTTACCTTTATGCAACATTTCAAGTTGAAGAGGGGACGATATCACACGTGTTAATGACGGATACTGTAGTTGATAAACTGTTGGGATGTTGACTGATGAGGTTGCTTGATTGATTCATTATAGCGGTGTCGATGCTGTACGCTATACGCGCAGAATCCGCCTACTGGGCATCGAGACCGCAAGCTGAAAAACTTTTGACCAAATCTATAGCTTGCGAGCTTATTACAGCGTGGGCGGAACCTCAATCTCAATGTGATGAGGTGCATTTCGTGCGTCACTTGACGTCAGGATCCGTTCACGATCGTCCTCACTACATACAGCCGGTGTGCGTAATTTTGCAATGTATACGCAGGTACTGGGCTCCTCAATGTCATAGAGCTTCATCGGCTCTGGACCGCATTCCAGTTTCACTGTCAGCGATCGCTTTGGGCCATTCCAGCAATTTTCGCCATTCGAGAACTTGATTTCTTTCACAATAGTTCCAAAGTCTTCAGGTGAGATAGAAGAGCTCTTACCAGATCCCTTGCCGTCTGACATCTTGAGACCTTTAATGTCCTCCATATCGCCCAGCTTGGTAAAGTCCTGAGTCGCCTTACCGAAGAAGCAGACCTTGTATTTGTACTGTCCAGCGTCGGATTCCACACACTCGTCGCGCAATCCAAAGAATAGGTTGTCTACACCATAGTCTTTGTCCAGCAACTTTTGCACCTCAATGAGCTTGTTTTCCTCCTCCTTGAGCTCTTCCTTTTTACTTTCGTGCAGCTTCCGGACCACTGCAGCTTGGTTTCGTTCATAGCGCTCGCTGGCAGCCAGCTCGTCATACAGAAGATCAAAAGGATGTCTCTCTACTTCGGGCAGCGTCAAGTCTTCCTCCTCCTCGGAAACGTCGGCTTCAACACCAACGTCCACTTCAGTTTCAGACTCCGTTACAGTTTCGTCATCGTCAGCAGCAGCCGCTGCTTTCTCAAGTGCTTCCTTTGCTTCTTTAGCCTTCTCTTCCTTGTCTTTCCGACGCTGTTCGATCGCCTTCTCAATACGTTGCGTCTCCTTCTGACGAGCATCGTCACGCTCTCGGAAGGCCTCATCTCGTTCATCCATCAATGACTTGGACAGTTTTTTTCCCCATCAACAGCCACCTCGCGTTCTTTCCGAATAATCGACAGCAGCTCTTGCTTGGCCGACATGCCCCCACGTCCAATCTCCACAATGATTGATGCCAGCTGCTCTTTCGTCAGATCCAGTAGTCCCAATTGAGTCACAATTTCATGTTTACGCGCTGCAACAAGACGCTCTTTCTCTTCCTGTTCCAGACGTTCCTCCTGCTGCTTCCTCACTTCTACTTGCTCCACTATCATACGTAGTGACGTAGTAGAAGTCTCAAGCTGCTGCTTTTTCTTCTCCTCTTCGTCCCAAAGTTTCTGGGCCTTCGTCACCAATGCAACACGATCTTTCAGTCCATGTTCCACCTGCTCAATCAGGTCACTCTTGTCCGCTTTGAAGCTCTGCATCACTTTGTAACAATTCGAAGCACAGGACGCACCACTTGCGTACTCGTCCGAGGCGTCACAGCAGTCACAGACGCCGTCATTGACGCGTGACGTTGGGATATCAGCAGAAAAGTATCCAGCATTGACACAGTGAAAGACAGCGGCTGTATGTGAGCATGCCGACGTACCGGGCTCATCGCTACCGTCTTCACAGTCACAATAGTTGTCATTTAACTGCAAAAGATCAAGACGCTGCTGTCCATTGTCACAGGTAAACTGTACCCATGTGTAGGATCAGATAAAAATGCGGAATCAGATTTGGAGTGATGGATTTTGTAGAGGAATATTGATACAATCACGTACACTCGATGCGATACGAAGCTTTTGCTGTAATTCAGGCGATACACCATGCCAGTCAGAGGCAGTTACACTGATAGCGAGTAACGTTAGTGACGTTGCAAGCCTCGGGGGAGTCATAGCGACGGAGGTGACGTGTCAGACGTAAGATTCGGATTAATGATATGTCTGCCACACATAAAATATAAATGTGGTACAGTGTACCGATAAAACGTCTACAGTTATCCGTCAAATAATAATGGCGAGCTTCTAGACAGCAGCATTGGGTTTATATTTATAAGCTGGTTCATACGGTTTTCTAAAGTCGCATCTTATTGACGACTCAAATATTCGTGACTACATATCTCTGCGCACATAAATCTAGCAAGACCCCGTTCTTTTATTTCTAAGACTGTGTGTCCGATGCGTTCGCATTAGCGCCGTCAGGGTCCAAATCCAAATCCGAATCAGGAGAAGCCGCGGCGGCGCCGTGCCTTCAAACATTAAGTATAGACGGTGAGTGATGGAATCGGGGCGTGCTGCAATGACCTATCGGGGTGGCATCGTTTTGCTCTTCGTCGCTCGTAAATAGCATTGCTTCCAAAATATCGAGATCATGCTGATCGAATAGCGGGAGATTGGAAGTTGGCTGCTGCTCGAGCTGTTGTGGCTGCGTCTCCAATGTCTGATAGACTTGCAATGGTAAGCACATGCTCATGGTCATGTTCGGTGGTGACATGGGCTTGGCGCGAACAGGACTGCGCTGCATCCTGTTACCATAGCAGACATCTTGTCCTACTGCCATAGCAGTAGATGACTGGGAGCAAAACCACGGCATCTGCTGCTGTGTCTGAACCTGTTGCATCCAATGTGACTGTTGTAGCTGATGTTTTTCCCTTTGCTGCTGCTTTAAAACACGACGTCGATGATCCAGACGCATTTGATTGCGATTGGCTTTCTCGCGGTGCATGGCACAGAATTTGTGCAGTCCACCACTTTTCTTGTGAGTGCGTTCCTTCAAGCAGCGTTTGCTCGAGTATTGGCAGCGCATTTCTTCGGACACGGCATCGGTCGGTATATCAGTGATGCTATTATTTAGTTGTTCCATGAATGATGTCGCTGTATGGTTGACGGTAAACTTATCCGTCATGATGTTATCAGGACTGATGAGAGGCTTTAATGAACTAAGTTGTTTACTGTCAAATTAAGATGTGAGCTATAGATAAATACACTCAAACGGAACATAGGACGAGGAATATCCGTAAATACCGAATACTTGTCAATGGCATTCATCGAGAAGACGATGCAGCACTCAAAAGTGGTGGAACTGCATAACGTCACTGGCAGTTGGAGATCCAGTAAAATATTTTGGCAAAAGATTGATTATTCGGTGGTATGAATGATGGTCACTGAATTCGACCAATCAAAATGCAGGAAAGTTTCAGTCTGGTGTGCCTCACATTATAATACAATGAGACGCATAACGTCGTTCCCATTTTGCGTCCATTGTCGCACCGCTTACGATTGAAGCTGCACACGCAATTAGCCTCGCTTTTGTTTCGAATAGCGTGGAAATCCAGGTATAGTTCAATCAGCGGAATGTTGGTGGATACATAAGCAAAAAAATTTACAAATTGAAGGCGAATATTTTTGCAATTTGTTGCAATGTTGCTCAAAATGTCACTTTTAATCTCATCGGTCAGATGAGGCGGAGGGTTTCGGGTTGCAAGGCCGATTTTCTGAATATTTTAGTTTTAGTGAGAGTGCTCATGTCTCAATATCGACAAATTATTCGGTCCACAACGCTGGAATTTCCAAAGCGATGAAAGTTCCGGGAAGACTCGCACACATTCGTAGTTACAGTCCGGTGCCATTAGACAAGGAATTAATAGATGGCATCAAGATACTTCAACTTTAGCGCGTTTTTTTGCTAATCGCGAGCACCAGATTCCGCTTGTAACGGCTGCTCTCGCGCTAGCATAGTTACGACCAAATTTGTTTCGCGCATTGTACTATCGATTTTTTACTAGCAGATCGTAAGTGTAAACATCAAGCTAGACGTCCCAAATTGAGTCAGCGCTTCGATGTTTTCAGCTGCCGACCGATTTCAATGAGCGCTCCGGGGCTTATTACAGTCCAATCAAAATGTTCCAAGTATTCAGCTCGTTGAGTTCAATGCATTTGTCACTCTACTATAAGGCCAGTTTTGCTCCGAACTCCCGTCCAGTGCGTGCGACACGACGATATTGCAATAAAGTAGCCACCCGCCATCCAAGATCTCGTCCTGCCAAGCGTAAAATGACTGCGTATTTGGAAAACTACGTCGCAAGATATTAATTTATTAAAACCCTTTACATGAGCTTTCCTTTATTGTCACTGTTTAGGCAGAAAATTGCTAGTAAAAAATCTATTATGCAGTCACGGTGAGCTAGAATGCCTCGGGTGTGTTTTCTCTTTGTCGCGGTATTTATTTACTCTATACGGAATCCCACAGATGAAGTGTGGTAGCTGGGGTTAATGCCCTACAGGGACATGTTTGAGGACATACCTGATGTGTTCATCGCATAACCCGCTGCGTATGCCAAGTCCTCGCCAGGGCTCACGTAGCCCTCGCCATCCTCGTCATCAAATAGCATAGCCTCAAGCATCATCACCTCTTCGTGTGAGAGGTTACAGATCGGTTCCTTAGGCTCCATCGTGTTCGTGATAGCATTGTATTCCATTGGTGCCTGTGCTGCGTCCATAAAGCGTTTCTTGCGCTCCATCATTTGCTGCCGAATAAGGCGACGCTTCTGTTGCATTCGTTGTTGGTTCACGTTAGCCTTTTTGCGGTGAAAGTCGCACAACTTGTGTAGGTCACCATTGTCCTTAACGGCACGGTGGTTGTTGCAAAGTTTGCTGGGGTATGAGCACCGCACCTCCGTGGGAAGCAGTGCGACAGTCTGATTGCTGTCCGAGGCAGTAGTCGCGGCAGTGTTGTTGTTGTTGGTCGACATGGTTAAGCTTCTTGGCTGCTTCAGTGTGGTTGGTGATGTCCTGTTTGGAGGCAAATTGAATAGTGATGATCGCTACCCCACCAATTGTTCTAGGTCCGACATTTTACTTGTCGTAGAAGCAATTCGGTGAGCCATCTAACCACTCAGATCAACGCGACAGCACCGAGAGTAACAACGATGCATCGGCAGCTAGCCTACCTCAAGCACGAGCGTACTCTACTGAACTGGACAGCAGCTATTTCTGCGATTTTTGGGCAATCTGGTTGCCGTCCAGAACGGTACTTGCTCGTTTTGGATCTTCTCGAGGTAATCACTACGGTTTAAGTCCAGTTCACGTACGGCTCAATGTCAAGTGTAGCGATCGCAACATGTTGGCAATGCCGTTGCTGCATCACACAAAGATTCTATAAGAAAACTGCTTGAGACACGGTGTAACGGAGACTGTTTCCGCTTGCCCGATTGTAGCTACTTCAAGCTCAGAAAAAGTGGCCATAAGTTGGGAGTGCCCAGTGCTTTTAGGCAAGAAGAATGGCCATGTTCTTTCCCAACTTGTCGATAGACATGGACGTGCCGAGGAATATGAGCGGTGTCCGGACGCAAAGCCTCTTTTCGCAGACACTGAATTGTTTCAGAAAGCGTTAGCAATCGTGGCGCACCGGCTTGCTCTGCTACGAAAGTGACCATGCTTGTATTCTACGGGGGTCTAGCAACTGATAGCTTAGTGAAAATAACTTTTGCAACGAGTGACTCGGTGCCATGAAAAAGAGAGGAATGATGACACTGTTGCTGGTGCGGGTGTAGTAGTAGTAGTAGTAGTAGTACATGAATTCATACAGTATTGCCATTCGTAAAACAAAGCAAGCAGTGATGAGTTCAGTTTTCACGTGCTACTTTTTTGATGCAGAGTCTTTCTCACTAAATGAATGCCAAGACGACGACGACGACTTTACATTAGTAGCTGCCGCAGCTATTAGATTGTATCCTATAATTTGCCATCTAGTAATACAGAGCTGTTTTCTTTCGATTATAATGAGCTCTGAAAAGCATGTTTGAGAAAGTAGCACCCATCAAGTTCGGTCTTTTTTCAAAACACCTCTGAAAACGTAGAGCTACTGCTAGGAATCATGGCAATTCTAAACCCTTCTGTAACAAAACAAAAAAGTGTGCATGTAGCAGCCACGCCTCTTCCCGATTGACATGTGATATTCGTGCCAGACAGACCCTGCAACGCATCGATGCGGTTTTGGACGCAATGTGACAACGACTTAGCGACCGATAAACGTATTACACCGCTGAGCGCACTACGCCAGCGCCCGTCCTTTTGTGGCAATTTTGAGTCATTACTCCTTCCAGCGATACAGTATCCGAAGAGTCTGGATGATGAGAAATTTGTAGTACGTCAGGACAAATGAATGCAATGCAATACGTGTCTTGTTGAGACACAGGCCTACTCTTTTTGTTCACTCCTCTTCAGCATGTGGAATAGTGTGTGTGGATTCTTTCACGGTTTAGCGTCCGTCCTAGTGCAAAGCTTGGGCCGATTGGAGCGCGCCAGTAGCTTTCATTAAGTCGCTGGAGTTCGTCACAGGCCGTTTTAGTGGTCTCATCAAGTCTAATACAGCTCGTCTCGTTATTGTGTTAGCATAAGCAGTTTCAACTGAATGCTTCAAACTTATTCACCATTTCCGCATGAAAAATAATATACGGGCACACACACACAACGTAAGCGCGGCACGAAGAACAAAGAGCTCGATCGCCAGGCTAAGGAATCTCGTATCTGGTGGTCGGTCATTCACTTCAACCTGCCGAATATTCGAAACAAACGTTTCGATGGTACTTGCATCCTTTTGAATCCAGACCGTAACCTGGACGAAGGCCATGTTAATGATGTCACTCTCCTACCACAACACGTGACCCGATGCACGTGGAACGGTGCCGATCGAAGGGTATTCGGGGAACATGAGCCACAAACGCCCGACCACTTTTTTTACCAGAACGCGTGCATCTCCTCAAACGTTTTTGTTCTGACAGTCTGGTCCATGACGGCTACTGAGCTTAATCATTGCATACTAATCTTGCTGACCGTGAGCTCAGAACCTTTAGTCAGGTATGCGGCGAGTCTGTATTACGCGGTCATTTACTTTGCCGTGCAAAGTTGTGTCTTTTCTTCGGGCCATGCATCGCCCTTGCTCGTATTTTGAGGTCAAACATAGCAATGTTCTTCTCGATTGTTGGAAACATGTCATCCGTAATTGCATGCAACTTGTTCTTTAGTATTCTGAGCCTTGCAGGGCCACACTGTAAGGAAAGTCAAGATGCAGATAGGCAGTCTACTCTACTCGATCATCTATGCTTGCTTTAAACCTCACTAAGCAGCTAAGGGTACAAAACCAAGCACTACGACGACGCTGTCATGATGCAGCACAGTGGGCTAAAGTGTCGTACGTACATCTGACTCCTGATTCTATCACACTCCTTGTGGTCCACACTCTACGAAAAACGGTTTTCGCTCAATCAAACAGCAGCAAATAAACAATCAACAACCATTATTGGCTATAATGCGCATTGGCTAGTGCCACAATTTAATCAGCTTCCAGGGGGGGGAGGGGAGACTTAAAAAAAAACGAGCGGCTCTAAACCACGAACACTCCAAATCACGTCTTCAGCCACAGGAATTTTTCCATTTAAAAATGGTCATGATGATCCTATTCAAGCAATCGACACCTATGCTCAAGTACATATGAATTCTATTCTTTTGTCTCGTACTTAATAATCTCTAATGCAATGCAATGCCTTCTCTTTCGTTTTTTTTTTATTGACAGAACCGTTGGTCAACAGGCCCGTGGTATGGCCACGGAAAAGCAGATTCTCCAGCGTATTACAGCTACTTCTAACATTGCCAAGATTACGAAATCAATGAAAATGGTATCGGCTGCTAAAATGCGTGGTGCTGAGAACCGCATGAATGTCGGTCGCCCTTTTACTGCGTGGCTGGATAATGTCAAGGGAGCTCATGATCGTACCATTGAAACGGACGGGATCGCCCCTTTGGAAGAATTGGAAAACGAGAATGTCTTTATCGTTGTCTCTTCGGACCGTGGCCTTTGTGGTGGTATCAATTCGGGTATTGCCAAGGCTGCTCGCAAGCAAATTGCTGGTGTGGAGGACAAGTCACAGATCTTTGTCATTGGTGACAAAGCTCGTGCCCAATTACGTCGTGATCTTGGTACCCGTATCCGCGGCAATGTAACCGAGACGTTCCAGTCACCGCCAAACTTTACGGTAGCTAGTGCTATCGCAGAGGCTGTGGTTGCTTCGTCCGCTTCCGAATCGGAAAAGGTGCACGTGTTGTACAACAAGTTCAAGTCGGCAATCTTGTACATGCCGTCTGTGCGCTCACTTGCGGTGCAACCCGACACGGATGCCTTTGACCTATACGAGCTTGAGCCTGATAACAAGGACGAGTTGCTGGCTGACCTTAAGGAGTTTGAGATTGCTACTGCCATTTTCCAGGGTATGATTGAAAACTCGACCAGCGAAGAGTCGTCGCGTATGGCTGCCATGGAGAACGCTACCACAAACGCTCAGGACCTCATTGGATCGCTTACGCTCGTGTACAACAAGGCTCGCCAGGCCCGTATTACTACGGAGCTGATTGAAATTATTTCGGGCGCCGCCTCGCTGGACGGTTAAGTCTGCTCATGGGCCTTGCTGCCAGGCTCAATCACAGGCTGACAGCAGCTCCGGGACAGAACGGACGTTATAAATGCTCGCGCGAGAAAAGGACTTGCCCAGTGTAGCTAGGAGTGAGGAACAGCGAGTGAGAGCTTGAATACGAGGTAGTACAAGCAGGAACAGCGTGTTGTCGACGGAAATAAACAGTCAAACCGTCTCATGATTGCAACATTATCCTGTGCTTTAGCCCTTACCAGATATGCACGTGACCCTCACTGTGACGTCACTGAAAACAAACTTGATGACGAGCAGGTGTTTCCAGTACCACCTCAGCTAGATTAGTGTGTCTAGGACATCGAAAGCTACCGGTTCCAGGTTTTACACGACGACAAAAGGCATCTATTGCTGCTGTCGAATATTATGGATAACATAGCACGAAGCTAGCATGGAAACGTCGGTCTTCCTGGTTTGCACAATGTTTGCTCGGAATCACCTTCTTTAGACTTTGGAGAAGTGCTCGGTGACCTTGTCCATCACCAGCCACTGAATACCGTACGACGGACACAGACGAGTGAGACGCGGCACAAGCCCCTTGTACAGTGCAGCAACACCCTCCTCCTTAGCAATCATGACCATGGCGTCCACCATGCCCTTGTACTTGCCAGCACCCACAGCCGCCTCTTGTGCCATGAGTCGCGTCTTGACTACATCCATGGGGCAATTAATGCACGGACCAGGAATGGCACCGATCATTCCCGTAAGACCACTCTTCCATGCCGGCAGTGAGTCCCCTTCCTGGAGTTTCCACATGTACTTCTTGATGAAATTGTTGGACCAGAAACTGCAAGCCTGATTGAGACCCTGGCGACCAATTGTCGGTGCTAAACCCTTCCACAGTGCAAGCGGGCCCTCTTGTTTGATAATCGTAGTAGCAGTGTGCACCGGACCGCGGTACTTGGGGGTCTCCCCTTTGACAATATTCTGGCCTTGCAGACGTGTCTTGATAACTTCAAACGGCGTGACAATCAGCACAGCTTCCGTGGCACCAGCAAGTGCACCAGCAATGAACTCTTTGGAGCCGCTCACCTGGCCGTTCTGGTCCGCGAGCATACGTCGGAAAATGGCATTGAAGTAGAACCGCGTGCCATTCTTGGTCACGACGTGCACTGTCCAAGGGGTAAAGCCCTTATACAGCCCTTTAGGTCCTTCAGCAGCAACAAGCTTCTTTCCACAGTCAATCATTCCACGGTATTGCCCCATCTTGTCAAGCTGCATGCGGGTCTTTGCCACATCCAACGGCGTAAGGATCACAGCCTCAATGACACCGGAAAGCGCACCACCAAGAAACTTGATCACGGGCGATACTTTCTTCACCTTCCCATCCTTGTCAAGAGGGAGCGGGGCACGCAGACCACTTTCACCTACTTCGACGCTGGCTTTCCACCAATTCTTAGACAGCTGACGAACATCGGGGTCCCATAGGAAGTGCTCGAGGGCAGTAGGTGATGCCATTTTGGAACGCAAGAGCAGATACAAGTGTTTGAAATCAGCCTCATGAACACAATGTGCGTCACGTGGATGCAATTGCTGGATCATTCTAGTAGCCTCCTCCAACGTGACAGTAACACCTAAAGCCTCAAGTCCATTCTGCAAGTCTTGATCCACCAGGTACCCCTTGTTTTCCTTGTCAAATGAGCGAAACGTTTGCAAAATAAACGCCTCGTGTAGTGCATGAAAGTCCTCGTAACGAAGTTGGCCTTGGTTTCTCGGGTCCAGACGTTTCATGAGTTGACCGGCATCATCGGCTGATAATTTAACACCGGCTACACGTAAACCACGTTGAATATCAAGTACATTGACACTCCCGTCCATATCGACGTCAATACGGGCAAAAGCTTCACGCAGTAGCTCATCAACTGTCACACGTGAATTGCGACGCATGATCGTAGCCATCTCGTTGGCTTTCGACTCGACTTCTACTGGAATACGATTGTCTACCATAATAATCTACAAGCAGAGACTACAAAGGGCTGGAAAAGGCTCTTGCGTCCAACAAGAAGATTCAAAAAGTGGTAAAACGTCATCGTAACGAACCAAAATGGTCAGCTTAAAACACACCCACGAGACCCCCCCCCCCATCTCGTACTCGGTGCTTGAATACAAAGAGATGATTGGTACGTCGTATTCAAAGACTGATCAGAGCTCCACGGGGTGTCTATGCGTGTTCGTCACGTCCTGAAATTTTCCAATGACGATTGGTGCAGAGCTCAAGAAGTTTTGGAGTGATCATGGTCCAAAGCTGAATAGAAGGATTGGTTCTATATCCATGGACGATTGATACCCGTGATCAGTGATCTCTTAGCTTGTGCTGCAGTACTTGATGCTTTCCTGCGCATAAAGGAGGGACGGCTGCCACATCGAGACGGACACGTTCCAAGCTTTGGCTGCTGTGTCGATTTCTTTCCCTGAGCTACTCGCTTGTCCTGCTGTGCTAGACTCAGCGACGGTCTACATTGAATGCGTTCGACTAGCTCTTCTTGTTGTAGCTGCTTCGGTTGCATCCTTTGTTTCTCTCGACTCTGGTCGATCGTACGCTTCGAAGGTACGGCTGAGTTTGTGGTCGATGCATGCTCGCACACTCTGTCGCGGCCAACTTGGACGAACACGTTGGGAGTTTGCAACGGGTTGTCAAGCTCGTCGTCATCCTCACCATCGTCGTTAGCTTCGTGGTTGTCCGAGCATTCTTCGTTCACAACATCCTTCTTCACTCTACCTCTTTCGTTGTATGAAGCTGGGATGTTGTTGTTTCCGCTCGATGTCATTGTCAGTGTGGCATTGCGTCGACTTACATCGTGGTGGTCCATCTGCTCTTGGTTACTATCAGCCCCTTTAGACTTGGAACTGCTATTCTTGCGGATGATGAGGTTGCCCCGTAGACGATGTTCATTGATAAAGTTTTGTAGGTCAGCCTCACGAACGCATTGTCGGGCGCACATCTCCTTTAGCTCCATATACTTAATGTGGGTCTGTCGCAACTTGTCCTCGCGCTCACGCAATCTCTTTTTTAGGAAGACAACAACGTCGGCTTGTTCATCAACATTGATTATGGACTGCTGCTGACGCTCAGAGGAACGACTTGGTCCTTCACTGTATGGTCTTGGCACTACCCCCGAAAATTGTGGGAAATCCAACCACAGAATATCCAAAAGATCAGGCAAAGCGGTCTTCTTGTCGTCATGATTACGCATCTTTTCCATACTAGTACTCTTCCAGCGCTCCACATTTGCCAGATATTCGTAGAGGCGACGATTCATATCGTCAAGCTTAGCTCTCAGCCCTGCAACTTCTACTGTGTCATAATGTTGGCTGCTAGACAGCTCACTTTCCGTCTTTTTCAGCTGCTCTAACGCAGTCGTAAGCTGAATCTTGTCGTGCTCCAAGCGAGCAATGTCATCTTCTTGAGAACGAACCTGCTCCTCCAATTCGTTAACTCGATCACTTTGCTCATTCTCTGATTTTCGTCTTTGCTTCTCGTGATCACGTGCTGCTCGCCGAGCTTTCCTGTTTATCTCACTGTCTTGCGCAGCAAGCCGCGCCTCCAAGACCCGAACTCTTTCACGGAGCTGCTGATTTTTGTCCTGTTCGTCTAGCAAGCGGGTCGTCTTCTCCAGCACTCGCCGCTTTTCCTTTTGCAGCTCTTTTTCCATGCACTCGATCTCGATCAAGCTATTCTCTCTCTTTGTACTGATTACAATCTTCGGACTTGAGATCGGTTCGTCCGAGGTCAAATGATCTACCTCCATTTTCGGAGACTGCTTACTTCGACAAGTAGATACATCATTTGATCGATTCAGCCGCAAAACTTGCTCCACATGCTGAAGAGGTGCTGATCGTTGTCTAGCTCCACGCGAAATGTCTCCACTAGACGATGCCTTCTTTCTACAAAATCCTGTCATACGTTGTACTGAATCGTTTCTATCTGTAGCTTGACCCGACGTGCCATCACCTTGTTCTCTTCCTAGGTGATCCATCGTCAATGAGCGGGTTAAGGTCTTCTTCACGCCATCTCTTGCTACAGAATGTTTCAGAAACCAGACCTGCTCATCTGCATGTTTAATTGCCTGCCTTGTTGGTTCTTCATTCCATACCAATTGATTCTTTTCCTGTTTTTCACTCTCGTCCGACCTCTTTGACTCATCTAATTGATCATCCTCATCATTCAATAAATCATCGTCATCTGCAGACAAACAAGACAATGACAAATCAATGTCTTTAGTTGGATGACACTCCCCCTCTTCTTGTCGTGATTGTCTTGACATCTTGTCGATCCACTTGTTCTTCCATTGCTCGACGTTTTTCTCATAACTTGCTTGTCTCCTGCCTGTCTCGTTCTCCTCTTTCACCTCATCATCCTTCTCCTTCAAATCCTCTTTCCTGCCATCTCTCAATCTTGAACTGCATCGATTTCCACTCTCAAGAACCTTTTTCTGCTGGAAATGAGGCCGTTTAAAGCTGTTAATCCCGTCATTTCTCGCTTGAATCTCGCCCGAAGGCACAAAAATGAGCTCCATAAGTTCATGATCCTGTGTATCAACTGCCAATAGCCCGTGATCCTTCGAATTGGCGTCTTGTTGCTGTAAGACGCAGAAATGTTGCAGATTCCGCTCTTCGTCCTCGTCGACTGCCGTGTCTTTATTAATGTATTTCGTACGCTGTAGTGCATTCTTTCGCTTAGTTTTTTCATGGTAAGTGGACGTTGTATGCATGGTAATGTCGTCTGAGCTTTGAAAGACGCGTACGTTCTCCATGAGGCGCAACATGACGACGAGAAAGAGGTGAAGAAAGTGCCGACGAATACAGGAATCTTTATAGTGATTATAACGTATCAAGTGAGGTGGAAAATACCGGTACTGTATAGACGTAATATAAGTATTCTAAACGATAGAATCAAAAACGAGTATATGATTGGTCAATAATAAAATAGCCACATTGGTGAGTGTTTGAATAAACAATTATGAGTCCTTTCCTAATTTGCTCAAAATTATTTCATTGTATGTATTATAATAAAAATGCTCAATAATAATATTACTGTATGATAATTTCATTATTTTTAAAAGGCCTGCTGCCACGACCGTGCTTCCATGTCCTTATCTCCCACTTACGAGCACCTTTTTCGATCATTAGCTCACCATTCACGTCTATTTCCATTGTGTAGCTCCAACGTAGTCCTGTTGACGACACCTACAAACTTTTACCAGCAATTGCTGGATAATATTCAACATGCTGAACATCGAGTGTCTCTTTCTTCATTATATTTGGGTACAGGTCCTTTGGAACGCGCTCTAGTTGAAGCTCTGGCCACGAGACTACGAGAACGACCGGAGCTTCAGGTGCAGATAATTTTGGACTATTCACGAGGTCAACGACGCACAAGTACGGCCAATTCAGTGACGATGTTGGCTCCATTGCTAATGGATTTTCCAGAGAATGTAAAGCTCTTTTTGTTTCGAGTTCCGCAGCTTTCAGGGCTCAAGGCAAAGCTGCCCCCTCCATTTAATGAAACGCTCGGTGTTTCCCATGCTAAAGTTTATCTAGTGGACGAGATACTTGTACTTAGTGGTGCTAATTTAAGTGCAGACTATTTTACCAACAGACAAGATCGGTATGTGCAGTTGACAGATTGTGGAGGACTTGCACAATTTTACCATCAGTTTGTGGAGTTGATCGCGGGATTCTCGTACAAGGTGACACTAGAATCGTTGACAGGATCTAAAAGCGACTATAAGTTGATCCCACCAGTGCTCGCACATGACTCGGAAGATGCAAAAGTGGCAATGAGACATAAGCTTGAAAACCTCGTGAACCGAGACAAGCACAAGCACGAAGACAAGGATGACGCATCGACAAACACGTGGGCGTTCCCGACGCTGCAATTTTCTCCTATCTCGATGGATCATGATGAGCGGGTGCTGAGTATGTTCATCAAGAACTTGCCACGTGGTTCAAAGTTACAAATTGCCTCGGGGTACTTGAATTTTCCACCGTTTTTGAGAGAGTTGCTAGAGCGTTGTAGCGCTACATTGGACGTGATTTCTGCGGCTCCTCGCGCCAATGGATTTTACAATGCTCACGGTGTAAAGGGGGCTTTACCTATGGCTTATTCGTTGATCGAGCAAGACTTTTTCGAACGCACTCGTGGTCGCGAGTATCCAACGGTGCTACGAGAGTTTAATCGTCCAGGCTGGACTTTTCATGGCAAGGGTATGTGGTGGCGACCACCATTGACCAACGGCTACAAGGGAATAACAGGTCTTCCTCAGGTCACAGTTGTGGGAAGCTCAAACTTCGGCCAGCGATCCTATGGCTGTGACTTGGAGTCAAACTTGGTCTTGTTTACACGTAGCCCAGAACTCCAGCGCCGACTGCAAGATGAGTACGATGCCCTTACTTGTAAAGCGGAAATAGTGACCGAGCAACTATGGCGACGGCACGAGCGTATGCTGCACGGCCTTTTCAGCTGGAAAGATGGCCACTGGATCCGACCTGTATCTAAGCTCATCGCCGCGTACCTCTAAGCTTCAAGTAGGCAACAGAGTGCAGCAATCATTGATAGAATAGACTTCAGATTGCACCCGTTGTCATTTACATGGTACGAACGCATACTACGATGGTATGCTTGTTTAGAGAAGATGTCCAACGGTGGACTGCAAGAACATCCCTGACAACAGCGGAAGGGTCAAATTATCGTCCCATCCGCCAAGGTCCAGCAGCTCCGCGACTGCTGCACCAAGTCCTGCAGCCAGTGAGACCGTGCCAGCTACAGCTGCAACGTCCTCCTTACCTGTCATGTCGAAATAGAAGTCCTGCTCTACCATCAACGCCGCAAACGTAGATATGGCTGTAACACAGAAACATCCAACTGATCCTTCCAGAGACTTGTTACCACCAAGCTTCCCGAACAACGTCACTAGCTTGTGCCGACCATACAACGTTCCAAAGAACGCCGCAGCAGGATCTCCGACTGACAACTAGGACAGCAATAAGACACACAACAGAGCATGAGATATCAATACAACGTCACCCACACTCAATCAACGTACATGAAGAATAGCAAGTCGTGCAGCTCGTAGTGAAAATACTGCGAGTGAAAAGCCCGAACCAAGTAAAAAGTAGTAGGCACCCGGTAAGGCTGATCTTGAGACCTCATGCTGGCGTAAGATACTACTAAACCACTTGATATAAGCAGCATTGACAGTGTTGCTACGGCCTCTCACTTTGTGCAATCCATAGAACAACAGTGCAAACAGCAGCAGCACAGAAGCGCCTGTCCATCGGTCAATAAACTTCAAAGCCACGTAAATCATCGCCCCCGTGCCCAAATGCTGGACTTTACGTTGCAAATGCAAGTCTTCTCGACGTGCCACATTATTAAAGGCTACGTCATCGTGTCGAGCCGATACGAGGTATTGAAACAATAAAATGACAGCCACACATGCAACGAATGACATGTCGATAGACATCGGAGACCGTCGTGTCGAGTCGTGCTTAATGGTTTCCAGAAGATGAAATAGTGTCACGTACGACTTTCCAGCGTACTAAACTAGCAACGATGAACGTATTCAGAATGAAGGAATGAAGTTCTAGATATCAAATCTAACGATTGAAAGGATCAAGTCGATGAACAGACGAGAACTATCCACTTCATCGAACAACATCAAACCTTTGTGGCCTCGTTCTTGGTTCTTATCGTCTGCGACGTGTGCTAATGGAGCTAGTCATGGAATGATGGAATTTCTCGGTGTAGTCGACGTGTTCATCAGTCACATGATCGACGTGTGGATATTTGTCCGCTGGTCTGCGATTGATCGATACACAACACATTGTCACTGCAAAAACATTTACGATTACGTCTTGAAACTGTTGCAGGATCAGCTCACATAGAAGGTTTGACTGTTTGCTGGACCGCAATAAATACAGTAGACTCACTAACACTATTCCTCGCGTTGACGCGAGCTTTGGAAACATCAGCATGGAATTGCAGTCTGGAGTTTTAGTACCCAAAGTCTGAGTCGGCATCACTACCGTAGCCATGCTCATTGTCGTCCTCAACACGTACAAAAAGGCTCGTGTCGAATAGGCCGTCCAGTCTGGGAACGAATGGAGCCTGTACCTGCCGGGCCTCTAGTTGTTGCCAGCCCTGTGTCGACGGGAAGTAGCTGCGAAAGAAAGTGGTACTTCGCACTTCTCCGAACGACGCAAGTCGCACTGCAGGGTCTTTCTCAAGCAGTTTTTCAATCAGAGAACACACACTGGAATGACCATGCTCGTAGTCAATCGGGAACTGAACAGGCTCCGAAATGATGCGGCGACCTTGCTCTCGGTGGTTTGCATGGTAGAATGGCGTTCTTCCAAAGAGCATTTCATAAAAAAGAATGCCAAAGGACCACAAATCCACTCTCTGGTCGTATGGCTTGTGCTGCAATATCTCAGGCGCCATGTACTCTGCACTTCCACACATGGTTGAATTGCGTTCAGACGTCCACCTTGCATTTGGCTTAGCCAGTCCAAAGTCAATAAGCTTTGGATATCCATCTGCATCCAGTACAAGATTTTCCAGCTTCAAATCTCGATACAAGATACCTCGTCCGTGCAAATACTCGAGTGCTGACACCAAACATGCAGTGTAAAATGCCACATCACATTCATGAAGTCCTCCATGAGAGCTTCTGAGATTTTGTTTGGCCATAAAATTTTCCAGCGTCAAGCTATTACGACCCATTGCAACACTAAGTCGACGGTATTGTCGCGTCTGCTCTTCATCGGACTCCGACTCGGTTGTCATAGAATCTGACGTTTCCTGTTGATCTTGTATCTGTCTACCACTCAATCTCCTTCTCTCTTCCTCATCCAACTCATCTTGAAAATCTTCACTTTCTTCAAAATGTCCATCGTCATGTGTATACACAAGACTATAAATTTCTCCTCCAGGACAGAATTCCAGCACAAAGTACACTGCTACATTGTCTTGAAAAGTAGCATATAATGTAGCAATAAACGGATGATTCAGTCCGATATGTGTCTTCTGTTCTCTCAGGACGTTCTTCTCTTGCTGCAACTCAAGCACCAAATGTCGTGGAAGTATCTTCACAGCCACCGTTGCTCCCGTATCCAAATGTCTTGCGAGTTGAACCGTTCCAAATGTACCTCGACCTAATACGTCCAATAATTCCAACTCGTCAATTCTCGTTAATTTCTCGAGCTGTGATCCAAAATGTGGTCTTCCAATGGATAAACGTCCATGAGCTTTTACACTCACAGCTGTCACGTAATTCGTGGCACTATGAAAATGCTTGGTAACGTCCTGTATGGAGTTTTGACGCCACGATAAAGTAGATACACGCTCTAATAGATACCTTGTCGCTTTCTTTGAAATTCTTGTATGGATTTCGTATAATTTATGCCACATTGGGGTCATTGATGGCGTCTCCATGGATGGAAATACTCGCATAGTCAAGCAAATGGGTACAAATTGATGAAGCATGTACGTCGGACCACTAATATTGTAGAATGATTGAGCTGAGTGTTCTGCGCACGTTCGGATCACCTTCCACTCTCTTGCTTTTAAAACCTGTCTCTGTAATATATATCTACCGAAATACAATTATGAACGAGATGCTCTTTAGACAAGATGGATTGTATCGATTAGAACAAGTTATTTATTAATGCAGTATTAGTATACCTTGCGTATAGTCGATGAATACTATTTAGATGTTATCAGTTTAGGTAGTATTATTTTAGACAAGTTTTTTCTGTAAAAAGTAGATGACCTTGTGGGTACATGAAATTTATATTGACGAAAAGGATGATTCAATAAGCCAAACAGACTATTAACATACAACTCTAAAACCTACTAACACTCTCTTACGGACTACCACTTCGAAGTATGCGACAGCGTAGTTAGCATCTTATAATATCCTTTCCAACAACGTCGGTGCGACCAAGTCGCAAGATGAGATTCATCCCACATTACTAGCATTGTTTTCGCACATGATCCCGCCGTTCATTCGATAAAAGTGCGATATCATTGTCTTCAATAAGCACAATTGGCGGCTGGCAATGCGTCCAATTATCGTGCGTGTTCGATGATGGTATTCTGTTGTTTTCAAGATTTGACTTTCTTCGGATTGACAATCGTTCGGTAATCGACAGGTTGTCCTGTGCAAATTCAAGGTTGCGCAGCTCAAAGTGAAGCTGCAGCGCTGATGGTCGATTAATCGGGTTCCCGTCCAGACATTTGTTGACCAGGTTTCGGACACTTTTGGGACAGTCTGGGCTTATCGACGGTCGTATTGAACCGGCACTCACGAGTACAGCAATTCGAGCGTTCGTGTGCTTTGTGCTGCCACCACGGTCATCCGCATTCGGGACACCCTCCGAATACGGTCGTCGGCATGTATCCAGTTCCGTCATTATCACACCGAACGAGTAGACATCTGCCTTTTCTGAATACCGTTCACCTCGAAGCACCTCGGGGGCAATCCACGAAATGGTGCCAATCTCAGCAGTCATTGTTTGATCCTCTCTGAGCTCACGGCTCACACCGAAGTCTGTCAACTTGGCTTCCCATGTTTCACTCAAAAGTATGTTGTTCGGCTTTAAATCTCGATGGATCATCGGGCTTTCGAATGAGTGCAAGTACACTAGAGCCTCGGCAACATCAAGAGCAATGAGTGACTTGCACTTGCGACCGTTGCTTTTCGCCTGTGTATTTGGGAACCAGCCGTACGATTTACGAGCACTCGGGTCACGAGTTTCGTGCTTCAGCTGTTTCTGAAGAAGTGTAGCAAGATCACCGTTCGGCATATACTCAAACACTGCAGACAAGTCCATAAGGGAAGTGAAAGCGAAGCCAATAAACGTCACAATTTTAGGGTGGTCCAGCGAACTACACGTCCGAATTTCGTCCATAAAGTCGTTGAGCATTCGCGGATCACGAGCACGCTCCGGCAGCAATTCCTTCATCACTACGGCTTTACCACGGAAATAAGCCTTATACACGGCGCCGTATCCGCCTTTCGCTATCAAGCCACCGCGCTCCACTTCTTCGTTCATCAGCCGGAAATGCCGCATGCTTCGGTCCGTGCGAATGTCAATGTTTAAATGCCGGTTCGAATTTGTCACTTCTAATTGAGTCGAGGAAGTGATGGTGTCACTCATTCCTCGACGCTTGCTGCTAAGAATCGAGTCGTCGAATTCATTGCGCTCGTTGTGCTCCATCATTCCCGTGGTTAACGTTCGCTCGAAGAAAGCCTGGTTCGTACCGCTGTCAGCTCTTGACCAAGAATCAGAGGTTCTGTCTGCTGTGTAGTCCCAGAGTTTCTCACCCGAACGGCGACAATAAAATACGACATAAGCTACAGCGCCGGCCACGACCACTAGTAGCAGAGTTGCACCTGAAAGTATCGCCACGAGCATCCAGTTATAAGAAGTGCTTATCTCTGGATAATTGATAGGCTGAGGGACATTTGGCGGTAGTCCGAGAGAGCTACTTGAGGGACTTGCGGCTGCGGACATAACGAACTTGTTGTTGTACACTGCATCCGGTAGGACACATATAGGCACAGTCTGCACTACCTCTTTTCTTGCACTTGAATCGCTGCAACTGGTAGCTGAGACTGTGAGCTTCAGCCACTCCAATCTTACTATCAGTGGCATGGCCGAGTCAGCTATCTCAAAAGAGTCGATCGTGCTGCCTTCTAAGTCGATCGAAGTCAGTGAGCCCGACGATGGCAACGTTACTCCTGAAAGTTTGCTGATTTTGCAGTCTTTGCATGAATAGACCTGGAGTTGTAACGGCATTTGCCACTTGGAGAGATCTTCGATTGGGTTTTCACTTGTATCAAGCTCGTGTAGTGTTTTGCTGAAAGAAAAAGTAGTAAGCATCATGATGTTGTTGTTCTTTATAGACAGCGCGGTGACAGTCGCAGGAATCTCTCCGTCGTCAAGACCGCTAATGCTGTTGTCATCGAGAACTCTGTAAAAATAGAACAGCATATTCGCGAAATTAGCGTTTGTGTGTGCAGGCTCTTCAGAAGCACACTACACTTTACGTACAGTGTAGTCACAGTGCGTGGAATTGCCAAAGCATTCAAATGACTGAGACCATTCAAAGACAAGTCTCTGTGGTAAAACATCAACATACAGTTAGTATACAGACAAATAACTAGAATATACTACTACCTAAGCAAACGCATTGACGCTGATAATGACGTACAGCATCTTCACGGTAGCATCCGGATCATCATAAATGGTCACAATTTGATTTCCTGATAGCAGCACAGTTGTTACATCTGGAAAGCTTGAGACTGCTTGAATGTTTATATTACGAGCATCGACTGTGGTGGTCCCACTACGTAATGTCGAACTAATGTGTACAATAGTGCAATTAGGATACACAATCTCTGCATCCGATGGAGCATTCGCACTTCTTCGTAATGTGGCAAGTGTCGGCGCTAATTCCTCACATGCTGCAGTTGTTTCAAGAATCCTCCGAGCACCAGTTGAACAAAGTAGTATCATTAAGAGCATGAAGATCATCACAAGTTCTCGTTGCCACAGACGTGGCTGTCTCATGACTACAATCTCCTTCTTAATACTACGTGATGTCTCGAATTTTAAAAAGAGACTTGGTGCTTGGTTCGGACTGCACAAGACGAATATTCAGTTAACACCCCATCCTTCAGTTATTATCCTAGACATGTCAATCCGATTTGTATCATTGCTACATTGTGTCAGGTAGAAGAGACATCTATATTTAGAAAGCAAAGCTTAAGAGTGCCAGATGTTTTATTTATTACACACGACTTAGGATTCTATCAAAACTTTTTTATTAATTATCATGATACAGTAGTCTAGCAATCTATATATGGTTGCTATGCGACATGCAAGGTTGGTATTAAATGTTGGAGGTGATGATTTACAAGGCGAATCCTTTTTAGAGCTTTTAGAGTGACTATGAAGCCATAGAAAAGCTGGGTCTATTTGAATGCAATCAGTGTAATACTGATATTGCCCATTTGTCAATACAGTAGGTACCTTTCTGGCGGCGTCTTTTTGCTTGTGGGTCAAAAGGTGCTATCTTTATGCTTCATCCACATACAATTTCAAGTCATTTCGTATTGAAACTCTATTTCACTTCCCAATCGACAGTCAATCGCAGTGATAACAGTCTGAATCAGATTGGTCTAAGAGTCGCCAAATAGCCATACGATACCACCTTATTTGTATTTTATTAGAGTAAAACCTAAGCAAAGTCACGATAATTCTATGTGCGTTAAATAGTAATGGGTATTTCAATAATGTACCAATCTTATAGGCCTCACATGCATGCATGCATGTCCATTACCTGGTCATTTAGCTCTTGCTTCCCATGAGCCGATAGAATTCTCAATAGAATCGTGTACAAAAAGCTCCACCTCCTTGGAGCTGATGGACGAAATAAAGCGATGATAACACTCGTTCCAAAGTACTTGATACGATCCATACGCAGTGAGTGACACGAAGAAACCACTGACCTCGTAGCCAAAGTGTTAGAAGACGTTTCGACACGAAACTCCCTCTGAGTTCGATCGTCATGCGCAACAAAGGTCCCGTCATAATATCGAAACCCAGTCAACCCCTTTAGCAATTCCATGTATCATGTGCATGCGGCCTTTCAGCGCCGTTCCAGATTTCATCGAACGGCACTAGCACGGGCACGGCCTAAAGTCCTACATACAGCTCCACGATACGTCAAAGAATTGTCACTAGTTCGACTTCAAAGCACACCGCTACGTACCTTTTCCAAGATCGAAGGCTAGTGTCAGTCTTCCGTCTCTTCCACCACCTTTCAAATGCTTACGGCAAAGCGTAAAATGTAAGGCTTCAATTACTCACCCTTGTTACTAGCCTTGACGTGCGTTTGCGACATGCATCTCTCCGACGCCAGCAGCTCCTCCTCTTCGAGTTCCAAATTACGTAGTTCATAGTGAATTTGCAACGCTGATGGACGATCCGCTGGGTCAAACGCCAAGCACTTGTCCACCAAGTTACGCACACTACGTGGACAGTCCCTGTGCACCTCGGGTCGAAGAGAACCGGCACTAACCAACACGGCAATACGAGTGTTTGACGTCTTGTTGTTGCCGTCATGATTGTCATCGATCGAAATTCCCTGTGAATATGGTCGACAACATGTGTCCAATTCCGTCAAAATGACACCAACAGAGTACACATCTGCCTTTTCAGAGTACTGCTCGCCTCGCAGTACCTCTGGAGCTATCCAAGAGACCGTACCAATCTCCGCAGTCATTGTCTGGTCTTCATCAACTTTACGACTAATTCCAAAGTCCGTCAATTTTGCTTCCCATGACTCGCTAAGTAGCACATTTTTCGGCTTCAAGTCACGGTGGATGATCGGAATCTCAAACGAGTGCAAGTAGACGAGCCCTTCTGCAATATCAAGCGCAATGAGCGACTTGCACTTCGACGGTCCACCTTCTCCGACCGAATGAAACCAATTGTAGCCGTCTCGAGCGTATTCGTCGCGAGTCTCACGTTGCAATTGCGTCTGCAACATGCTGCTTAGGTCGCCATGAGGCATGTACTCCATGACCAGGCTAATATCAAACAGAGAGCTCCAAGTCACACCAATAAAGTGCACGATCTTGGGGTGGTCCAAAATCGAACAGAGACGGATCTCATCCATGAAGTTACTCAAACAGCGCTTGTCACGAGCCCGTTCTGGCAGCAGCTGCTTAGTCACTACCTTCTCGTTCTGAAATGTGGCCAGGTAGACGGCGCCGTAGCCGCCTTTCGCAATCAGATTTCCTCGCACGACTTCTTCCTGCAGTAATCTGCACTGCAATATGTCTTCATCCGTCCGAATATCGTTCATTACGAAATTGAACGTTGAATTACTCATCATTCTTTCTGGTGCCGAGTCCGTTCGACCAGTTCGTGACATGCCCGTCACGTGTGACGGTATGTACTTTGTCGCCTTGGATGATGATGAAGCATGCGGGTCAAACTCCAAATGTTCAGCTTCTGTAATCTCTTTATCCCGAACCTTTTGTCGGCGACGGCAGACGACAAAGACAGCACCACCAAGTACACAGGCCATCATCGCTCCGAGACAGATCATTGCTAGCATCATCCAATCACTAAGGCCAACATGGTCCCCGATTTCTTCTTCAAGAACAGATGTGCCTCGATTTTGAGCATTAGAAATGTCGGATCCTCCCAAAAGGTACTTGGCGTTAAAATAGTCATCCGGGAGCACACACAAGTGCATCGAGCGAGCAACCCGAGACATGGCATGAATGTCGCTGCAGCCGGATCCAATTGTTGTAACTACGAGATTGTCCACAGCCTCGAGCACACTTACACTTGAATTGGCAACTTCGAACAACCCTACGTTGCTGCCTGTCAGATCGAAAGTTGAAAGGGACAGGGCTGCTGGAAAGACCACGCCCGCAATGCTCTTGATTCCGCAGTTCTGGCACTTGAAAGACTGTAAGCTGTCTGGCATCTGCCAGCTGGTGAGCTGTGACACCAAGTTGCCACTCAAGTCGATGTACTGTGTCGCATCGCCCATGCCAAAGTTCTGCAACGATGTGATGCTGTTGTTTCGGATTGACACCGATGTGACCGTGTCTGGGAGGTCGCTTTTCGACAACGCTGAAATCTTGTTGTCGTCCAAATTCCTGTTCATTTGCAAGCCAAAACACATTAGCCGCAAGACACACTTACACGTAATAGAGAACAATGCAGCCTTACAGAATTAAGACACCACTGGGTATCAAGATGTTGGTCAAGTCTTTGATGTCATTTGCAGATATATCCCTGCATGAACATACAAAAATTCTCAGAACATGGTGTTTTGAAAGCATAAACAAACTACGCACAGCGTTGAGATACTATTGTCGTCTATTTCTTGGATAGCAACAATGCTGTTGTCTGAAAGGTCCCTGTTCGTAATCCACAGCACAATGTCTTCATTAACCTCGCCACGCAATTCACAAAATTAGGCACTGACAATACGTACATCATGTCGACCTCGGGGAAGCTCTCGACAATCTGAATCTTTTGTCCTGAGGCGTCCATAGATAATTTGCCATCCTTCTGGCGGTCGGCACGAATGGTCAAAATGGCGCAGTCTTTATAGATGACATAGGCTGCACTCGAAGACGACGCGCTCTGTTTTAACGTAATCATGGTCGGTGGAGACTGTAGGCATTTTTGACGCTGTGTCTTGAGAGCCGCTAAACTTGCTGAACCGAGTGACGCGGACAAATCGTCCGATTCCACTGACACGGCAAAGGCTGAACGTATTGTCACCTGTATCGTCACTAAAAGCGCAAACGTGCAATTCCACCACCTGCTCGCCACTGCCATTGTAAATGGTCTTCGATAGAGCTAAAGAGTCCACGGATGTAAGAACCTATTTGACCTGTCTGCCCCTGATCAATCAATTCCACTCTACTTGAGTTTCTAGTCGAAAGGTTACGAACTCGTCCCTCGCTAGCACCTGAGACCTGGTTGTGGGGTAAGGGAGGGGAGTTACACTGGGTCGCAAGTTGTACAAGACCGTCGCACCAGCTGGGAACACTTGAATTTGATCAAAAAACTCGCTCGAGGTGTGAAAAACCAAGCTCCCCATCTGAGTTGCCACGTTCTTGACATCTATGTGCATGGTTCCCGTATAGACATGGCACGATTACCGACGTGGTGCTGCAGATGAAAGACAAAAGCAGCGATTGCTGATCTGGAATTCAACTCTATCGGATCCCGTGAAAAAAAAACACTTTCCAGACGCGTACGAAAGACATGCCGAATGCACCTGGAAACCATTCGAAGAAACTGACGAGCTCCTTGATGAAAACTCCTTGATGGCTTTCGTGTCACGAACTTTCTACCTGTCACGGTTTCAATGATGTGCAAAGTTCATGAACTGCATCGTCCGCTTCTGGTCCACGTTACTTCAAGTAGAAAGAAAAGGCTGTAGAGACGCCCTCATGCAGCGATTGCAATGCAAAACTCTCGAAGTATTTCCAACATAGGGCAAAGTGGTTGTAAGCATGAGACCGCTATCTCATGTGTTCCTCATTGAGATCGTTGGCAAGCGAATTTGTTGCCGCTCTTGATGACTTGAAGCTATTGAAGGTGCATCTATTTTTTTTAAAAGGATCAGGTTATCATGGAGACTAAGTACAAGAAACTGACTATCAAGGACATTGTTTCATGAGTATTTCGTGAGGAAGAAGTAAGCTAGTAGTGAAGTATGGGCTAGAAAGACAAGAAAGACAAGAGAGCCTATTTCCTGCTATAAAGTAGTATAATCAATTGCCCATTAGGGTGAATTTGTACTACCACGTTCTACACTCCCTCTTCAATGAAGGGTCATTTGAGTCATGAAAGGTCATTGTTTTTTTTGTGATACAAGTCCCTCGTGAACTACAGATATCCCACTACGTTTCAACTAGGACCCCGCCGTTTCGAACTATAACCCGCAATCTTTAATTGCTTGCACTTGCTGAATAAATCTCTAGAAAGGTTATGCCAATTACTACTTTGTCGTCGAAGAGCGTGCTACGAGTGCATCAATTTGCATTCAACAAGAACGAAAACACGAGAGATCAAATGACATTAGTTGCAACCACCGGAATTGTGGTGGGCAAAGGGTTTCAAGCTAATTTCAAGCTTTATGATGATTCGGAGGTCGATGCTGCTCACGGGACATTGGAATGCACTCTTGGGCTCGGGGTTTGGGTCTATAGTGATCACAGTCGCTACGGTTCGATACTTAATGGCGATCAAAGTGTTCACAATAATGCAGTGGTAGTGCATCATGGTGATACGTTAAAGGTCGGTCGGACCGAAGTCAAGTTGAGTTTGGAAAGGGGAACGTCGGAAGCAATTCCAGAAAAGAAGGAAGCGAACAACATAGTGTCATCAGTTGGTGTTAATCAGGAGACCGAGTTAAGTGCACGAAATATTGCACGAATGGCTCGACGTAGAGCGTCAACATCATGGGAATCGGCAGGTGCAGTGTCCAAATTACAGCAAGCTAAGGAACGACTGCCTCGCATTGAAACATTGGGGCTTGACTTTGTTGCAGTTGAAACATCCATGGCGACGCCTCCGGAGTATACGGTGTCGCCACTTCCTGAGACGCGGTGGCAGATTCCTACTGCTAACGCAACCGCAGAGGCAGCAAGAAATTTGCCGTCGACACTCTTAAAGCAGCACGGACACCCGCAATCGTTTCATCGACCTTGTGCGCGGTTTGTGGAAGGTTTTGACATGCCGTTCACATCAATACATCAGCAGCCAGAAGCTGAAAATTCAAGTAAGAAGGACCTCCCACCGCCTTTGGAATACTCGAGCTCTCCAGCGGTGTCTCCGTCGTCTTTAGCGGCACGGCAGCGCTACAATCTCCTTCAGCAACCGCCAACTAGTGTACCTGTCTCTGTGTCTGCATTGATCGCTAAAGTGTCTCCCCCGCCAACAAGTACAGGTGGCTGGCCAAGCTCGCGGCGTGACGATCTTCGCATTCAAGTGTCCAAGAAGATGGCTGCGGCAGCGCCAGTGGGTGCTGGTAAGGCTACTGTTCCCCGCGTATTTCTGGGAGCACTGGAACCTCAGCCACCTGCGTCACCTGTGGCACAAAGAGACCTTTTCAAACAACAACTATCACTGCAGACCATTCTGCAGGCCAAATTTGAAGAGGAAAAACTACTCAAACAGCAGCAGGAGGAGTGGATGAGACAAAAGATGATGTCTGTCATCTCCAACAACAACAACGAGATGCTAGCTTCCACGCTGCATCCTCCTGTCGAGAATGAGAAATCGTCGCTTGACACTGACCCGAATGAGTTGGTACTGTTTCCCGCACCAACTCCAGTACCCTTACTTGGACTTAGGCAGCACCAGATTTTGAAACCAACTTCACGAGTTTCAGCAGCCACGCCAACGTCCCAAGCACGTCTTAACAGCTTCGAAGAAAGATTCAATGAAACAAGATGCAATGCTAAGAAGGAACGTCATAAGACTACAGCACTGGCAAGCGAATTACACAAATGGGAGGTCATACACCGCAATCCCGCCAAGGAAATTGAGCTGCGCAGCTCAGATGAAAGCGTCATTTCCACAGCAACTACGATGATTACTTGTCACCGGCGTGTCATGAGCTCGGTACGTCATTCACAGATTGTCCGTTCATCGACTCGACCTCTAGTGTTTCTAACGTTTTTTGCTGTTTCCTCCCACAGCTCTCATCAAGTTGTACCAGCTCCGTTGATCTTTTCGATTTCCTCGGTTATGAGGAAGAGGAGGATACGGACGACATGATCACGTCGTATACAACTCCAAAATGGATCAATTGAGCTGCTACGCTCTTGATTCGAAGCAAATGTGCTGGATTGTTGTCAGTGACTTCTGGTAAGCTCTCGTACTGGGTTAGTCCATATGCTTTGGTGCCTTTAGCTTTAGCATATCTGCATTGTATCATTCCCATTTTAATATATAAAGTAGCTGACGAGAAGTGCTGCTGTAATTGCAGGTATCAGGAATCAATTCCATTGCACAATGACCAACCCAACATTGCGTGCTGTTTGTACTTACTCATTTCTTGGTGTTGATGCAGAAGATCGTTATCTTGTAACCGCAAAAAATATCTTCACACCTACATGGTACGCAAGCATAACCCCGATAGCATAAAGGTTCACCTCTTTCTTCATTTTGCTGATTTAGACGTACGGCCAGAGTCTATCAAAGGGGTTCATGCAAAGCTAAGCAGCACTACAGATCCGACCAAGCTGAACAAGCTTGAAAGCTGTTCCTACAGCTGCTTCACATTAAACTTGACAAATCCGGTGGCGTGTTTTCGACTTCAACGAGAAAGGCAGCTTCTTACAGCAGTTTGTTTGTATGAAGAGGTTTCGCAATGCAGAAGCTTATTTCATCCAGAAGCTGCATCCGAATGATACGAGTATTCATTACAGTGCTGGTGCTTGTTGTGCCAGCTACAAGTCACGAGAGTGCAGCATCGACCAACAGCACACCTCTCAATGTTACTGACTACTGGATTGAAGACCATCCGTACGTGTTCCAGCCTTACTGGAAGCGCCTTCGAAATGGTAAAATTGTACTGGAGAACGACTCGACCTTCAGTAGCGTACGCGATACAGTTAGGACAAATACGTCATGGATTTCAAGATGGGTCCTCTCAAGCGAGGGTCAACGCACGCTAAGAAAAGATTTATCACGGCTGCTGATGTACAATCTAGTGTCTCCCATGGACTACGGGGACTCGCTGCGGTCTAGTAACGTACGTCGGCGCCGCAACAAAGCGGTACGCATGTTTCTAACGGACAACTTGGCACTCCCAGCCTTGAAAACTTTCGGTCGTGTAGCTTGGAATCTCATTCAAAGTCATTACGTTGACTATTTCAAAGACGAGATGTTCACGCAGCGTTTAAAGACTATGAACGCCAGTGAGATGATACGAGAATTTAACCTCACACTCCCAATTGAGGCGATCGAAGAGATACCAGATGAAGATAGCCGACCAAACACAACGCAGGCATACGAGTATGATGGAGAAAAAAGCGAGCTCAATTGTACAGACAGTACTCCGCAGCTTTTGATCCATACGAGAATTACTCGAACCAGTTTTACACCCGAGACGATACTTTGCCGCCACCCACATTTCCTGCCGACAGCTATCCGTGGCTTTGGTCTTCGCGGCTTAACATGACACGAATGATAGTGTCACAGCTATTGCAATCGCTTGCTGTGCAGAATGTAAACATAGCTGAACTCGATACCAGCTCAAGTGGAAGCAGTGACGATGCAATCCTTAGCTCTTGTCCATCAAGTTGCGCTGAAAACGACAGAATATCTCGAGAACTCGCGAATGTAAGTGATGAATTGCTTTTGAGCGCGTTAAACTTGTCGGTACCAGCGAACGGAAGTGTATCTACTGGAGCAGTAAACCATGGAGGCAATACTACAATGAGTACAAAAGATACCCAAGCATTCAAGCAAATCCAAGTTCGACTGGAGGAATTTTACTTCGACACTGGCATTCCTCGGCTACCCGTCCATCCCAATGTTACAAATTTGGTCTTTCCATCGTTGGCAACATTTCTTCGTGTATCACTTACAACCGATGCAAGTACCAACCATTCCGCGGCATCTGAAGACAGCGTTGCAAACAACAGCTTTGGTGACTCAAATGACGCTGTTATCCCACGATCGTTGTCTTTGGAAGATTTAATCAGCGACGATGCTGGTAACATTGGCAGTATGACAGATTTTTCGTCAAGAAGCGGAGTATACGCTGCACTCACTCACTATTACGCGTTCCCTTCGGCTGACAAATGGATGATTAAAAAGTTTGACGATGAGAATATTTCAGATTGTACATTGAAACAAGTGTGTCTAGTACACTCTGGAGTGACGGTGTATACGCCGTCGTTAACAGCGCTACAGCTGGTTGAAACATTCAATGATATGAGCGTGGCTCCCACGACAAAACGATTAATGCGGCTGATGGCGCTACTGGAGATGGTTCAAGTGGCTTTTGAAGCTGAGCGAAGAGCGCTTAAACACGGTCTACAAGGTCCGTCCACCGTCTGGTACTCTACTCACGACCTTGACGTGGATGAATTTGCTGATGCAGTACTAGGTACAATTAACATGTCGATCAGTGGAGACACTGGTGATTCAACTCCGCTGCATGTTTTTGAAAAGCACATGAACGAACGGGTACCGATTCTGGACGAAGAGGTTTCGTACTACGCAGAGACAAACCACGACACCAAATTCTCGATGGAACTCAACCACAGCATTCCCATGCTAGACAAATTCCAAGAAAGTGACCTGGTTAAACTAGTGAGCTCGTTCACGAACGAAATGAAGAATCTCAATCGAGCAATCGGTTTCTACGTAGAGACTCGATCTACAGATTTATTATACCAAGAAGTTGTAAGTGCTACGACGCGTGGAGATTTATATAACGGAAGTGAGTACACCTTGATCGGCTTTGGTTTTCTCATTCCTGCGACCAACAAACACAATGTGCTATATCGAGACATGAAACTGCCAGTTCCATTTCATCTTGTGGTCCGTTTACTTGTGCGTTTTCAAGAAAGTCGTTTACTGCTACCACAAGAATCACGACAAGTTTTAGTTTGCCTGACAATGGCATACTACAATATTTCCTTCTACCGCTGTCACAACTCATCATCTACCAACCATTAAAGACATGAGAAATAGCAAAATGTCGTAGGTCATTGAACATGTCGATCGTCTCCTCATTCCCAATGGTTTTCGTACTACTGCAACTTGTCACTCGAGGCATGCATGGTGTTCTAACCTGCCCAGCGACCAGCAAAAGATCCACCTCGAGCCAACCATGCGATAAATAATAGGTCTTAAGGTCGTTCTGAATCAACTAGATTACCGCAGCCCATGTTGAGTAGATGACCTTCAGCCAGGATAATGATAGCATGGCCTTCCTCAAACGAAGCGGTCCACCTGCGGCTTGATGTTTTGGCGCTTGGCGATCTCAGTCACACCAGCCATGTCAATCTCATTGTCAAAGTGATCAATGTTGCCGACGATATCATTGTTTTTCATCTTGAGCATGTCCTTAGCCATGATAATGTCCTTGTTACCCGTCGTAGTGATAAAGATGTCCGCCTGGGAGACAACCGTCTCAAGACGTACCACCTGAAAGCCCTTCATGCACGATTGAAGGGTGCAAATAGGGTCTACCACAATACGTAGACGACCGCGTCAGCAGCCTTCATGGTCTGAGCGCTATCCTTGCCGACGTCACCAAAGCCACATATCAATGCGTTTGCTAGCCAGCATGACGTCTGTGGCACGCATGATGCCATCAGGTAGTGAGTGGCGTCAGCCATATAGATTGTCAAATTTAGACTTGGTGGCCGAATCATTCACGTTAATGGCAGGGAACAGTAGCGTTCCGTTGACGGCTCCACCGCAGTCTTTGCCTGGACAGGTGAGACCCTTGAAGAGGACTGGGAATGCACTTTGAGCGCCATCACGTGGTCTTCAGATGACGGCCCAGACAACATCGTGGATGACGGTGGCGACATGACGTTTCTTATTCACCAGGGCTATAAAGCTAAGAAGCTCTTTCTGAGAACGACACGCTGCCCGATGCTGACAAATATGGCTTCTTCCCTCTTCAAATATCAATTACGCTTTTATGATTCGCTAAGCTGTCAAGTGTGCTTACAGACGACCTCCGATAGGTGAATATTGGCGGCGCACACGGTGCTGACGCCAACGCACAACGCCGAAGATCGCAGCGCCAACTGCCACCAGAGCAAGGGCAACGACACCCATGATGGTTGCAAAATTCCACTTCGCCACTGATGCGAGTAAATGGCTTGGCTTCACCTTCTTGGACGTTAGAGTATGCGAAGGGAGTTCTTTGGGAGTAGAGATCGTCACGTTGAGCAGATGCCCAGCTCCACCAAAATCACACGTCGCGCCCTTTTCGCGGTTGAGATGCCAATACTGGTCAAATGCCCAGTCGCATTGCTCTTCCAAGGTGTGGAAGCGCTTCTTGATGTCCGAGCAGTCGATCTCCGGGTAATTGCACGCAAATGCAAGACCGCTCTTAAGCTCAAATTCTTCAACACCGCGCTTTGCATGGCAAATAAAGTCACCACTGTCCTCCTTCCTGCACGCCGTCTCAACACCGTCATCGCTGTGGTAATGCGACACGTTCTTGGGGAATGCGCCCTGACGAACCAAGTCCAAGAAACTCCACTTTGTAGCGAATTCCGTTTTGAAGTTCCAAAAGTACCACCCGTGACCAACAGCAAAACCATTTAGCTTTTTCAGAGTTAACGCCCTGGTTAATGCAGCATCGTCATGCTGGTGAAAAGAGTTCTGACTGGTAACAGGGCACTTGCCGAACGACGGTCCAGACATGCCAGTGCCATATGGGCCTTGAATCGGCTTAGTCTCGTCCAAAGGAGTACCTGGAAAACCGTCGCCAAGATACGTGCTGTTTATAGGACAGTCTACCATGTGGCATTGGACTTTGGGGAAGCCTGGCAAATTGTCATTGAAGCCATTCAGCCACATTGCACAATTGTCCGTGCCGATCGACCACTCGCCTACAATAACGGGCATCATGGCATCTTCCATCTTGGTAATGACATACTTCTGCTGACAAGCGTTTGAAAAAAAATCTTCAATCGTTCCAGGTGAATTCCAAGCTTGATAAATGTGCGTGTCGAGCGCGATATCGGGGCAGCCTCGGAGGAAATCAGCCCAGAATACCAGTCCGAAACGAAATGAGTCGTGAATAATGAACTTCCACAAAGGTGCGAGAGCCTTTACTCGCTTGTACGACTTCCAATAGTATTCTTTAAGTACTTCAATAGGTGTAAGTTCCCACGGTTCATTCACTGGCTCAATTCCCATTATAGCTTCGTGTCCCTTGTAGCGATTAATAATTGCTTCGACAACCACAATTGAATGGTTTAGGTTCGAGTAGTTGATGCTTGAATAATTGTGGTTCTCGACATCAAACGTACCAGCCCATTCGGCTTGACGAATAGGCCAATGCTCAAAAGTAGTCGTTCCCACAGGTTGCGTACTAGCAATGGACGTCCACTTGACAGACATAGACCTGCCACTGTTATCGAATCCATTCTGGGAACCAATGAGTCCATGCATATCCAATAGAATGTCAAGGCCGTACTTAAGTGCAAGGTCAGCGACACGGTCGAGCGCATCGACGGCACCCGTTGTGCAGCCAGAAAAAGGTTCGTAAGGATTAAACATCCAGTCACCAACAGGAATACGAAGCGAATTGATACCTGCTGCAGCAAGTGCAGCAATATCTTTCTCCGTGACCCAATTGTCATAATGAATACGTAGCTGTCGATTCGCTTCTTCCTTTCCAAGTGCCGTGCAGAACGTATACGTATCCATTGCTGTTTTCTCGGGAGCTTTGTCTCCAAATCGTTGCTGCGTGTTCAAGAACTGGTAAAAGAGTGAAGGCGTGATCCATGGCTCTAATACGAGCCAACCGCCGAGATTTACACCACGAACTTGTTTATTGAAAGGCGTAGCATGCGTATCAAACGAGCACGTCTGGTCCGTATCGTTTGGCTTGAAGTTCTTAAACACATCACTGTCCTGGGCGAACATGGAGTCCTCGCCATGGTGCCAGTACCATTTGTAATCCGGCAAGTCGGGTGTGTCCTGTGGACCCGAAGCAGACGTTGGCGCAGGAATCGACTTGTCCGTAGACGCATCAGGAGCTGTCACGTCCTTTATTTGTAACACGGGCTCATCATGTGAGTCTTCTCTGCCCTCGGGCGACATCTCGATTGAAAAACCGTTACTCGCAGCGACGTGTGGTTGAAGCACAGCCACGACAAGAAACGCACTAAACGCTGTTGTCATTTTATATGGCGACCAGACCACCATTCTGCTTTTGGATCCAAAAATCAAAGTGACGTCTCTTGAGCACGACAAAGCAAAAGGGAAAATGAGGAGCAGGTGGATGCGGATCTTGCGATAGTGGGAAATTACAAAACTAGCTTGTTCTTGTACTTGAATTTGCAAGCAGTATGATATAAATTACAGTATGACCACATTGCGATCTTTGGTGTTGAAGTTGTCTGATTCAATTTAATGGCTGCCAGACAAACCAAGCGATCGCTAGGAGTAGCACTCTATAGAAAGAAAAAAGATTTACATGCTTAATCGTGAAAGCTGGTGGTCTGATATAAGTGATCAAACAGTGTAGTTCTTCTGAATATAGGTAAAAATTCTAGCTTTCTTAATTCAGTCGGTCAAATTCCAAAGGTCAGAGTGATAGATACCGCACAATTTATAGTATTGTAGCTGCGTCGAGCTTACATATATTTTTTTGCAGCTAGCACACCTGCGATTCTTTAGAGTTGAAAAACATAGATCAAAATGTTACGTTAAGATCAACAAAGAGACAGTAAAAAGGCAAAAAAAATTTATTATCAATGTGTTAAAGCTCTGACACATGTCCTAACCTTTCTTCGAGAGCCACGGTCCCACGATTCTAAGTATTTTAGACAAGATATCATTAATTGCTTCGTCTTCATTTTTTTTAACTAGGTCTTCCCATAACATTCGTTCATTGTTTATACCATATGCGAGTCTCACAACCATCGCTATTCTCGGCCATGTGTCATTCGCTTTACCGTCAAGTATACACTCCGCATACACATAACTGACCCACATTTTTAAGTTTGCATTTTGAAGCCCACGGTTTTTAAGGCCAAATATCTCATACATATCAAAAGCATTATGTCCCTCAACTTTCGCGTTCCATGCAAACCCACGTTGTAAAAAAAATGACAATTCATTGTCGTTGTGCTTCAGCAAAATCGCAAAGAACTCTGGCCAATGGTCCCTGAAATGATTGGCCAATTCGATCCCCACTTGTTTACATAAATCATTCGCTTCCGTGTATGAAGAGTGCGTTTTACCAAAGTCATTTAATTTTTGCGTAAAGTACGCACGGAATTCTGGGGATTTAAAGAAATTATCACCAAGTTGTATATGCTGGACCAAATCCTCTCTCACTTTTCGCCTGGACGTCATAGTTTCATCGATAGGCTCTGTCGCAGAACTACTCGCCTCAATATCGTTACTTTTCCTCTTTCCAAATAGGAATTTTTTAAAGAAATTAGGTGCCCTCTCCTCTTCGGTTGTTTCCACCCCACCTCGCAGAAGCCGCTGAGGAGCGTGCTGATGAGACAGTGCTGGATGCTTGAATGTCGAACTTGATCGTGTTGACGACGCATCAGCATAGGCAGAGAGGGTGACGGCAGCCACTAGGAGCAAAGGGTATGTACGCATGCTTGATCGACTGCTTGAGGAGTATGGGAGAAAATTGAGAATGAATCTGCGGTTGCCATTTCTTCGGTATTTCGTCGGATTAAATTGCAAAGCTTTTTTTCGACTCTTGACTATACGAGAAACACCGGACGGAGCTCTGATGACGTGCAAACTGAATGTAGCTGGGGAGTGACACTCACAGTGTCAGAGATTCCACGCCTTAAGATTTTTTTGATACAAAGGTCAGGACTGACAAGCTTTGGGTCAAACTACCTCTCACTTAAGGTTTATCCGTCATACATGACTACTACCGATCATATTGCAAAGGACGTTTACATTTGTAAAAATTCCATGAGTCTACACCACATGTCAGAGGCCAACCAGTGTAAACGATCAATCTCTCGATGTGCTGTGTCATTTTTATGAGAGCTCTTTGCTAATCCATTTCTTTACATATTCCTATCGACTGAAACTGAATCCATGTCGTCAGTGAACAAGCGCTGGTCCTTTCCGAAAGGCGCAGCATTTACAACCTCTCTTCACCTGGTCTTTTTTTCGTACCGTCGCATCGGCACCATTCAATCGTAAGAGGCCAGCCCTTGCAAACATTGTAGTCAATTCCTCGATGTGCTATGACATTTTTTAAAAAAGCTTGTTTGCCTTTCCAAGAACACGTCTATTTACAGATACCTAGCTCCTCGACTCACTATAGACGAAATGCCGCTTGTGCAGACATTACAACGTTCAATAAAACAGTAGCACCCACAGTAACAGCATCAGTAACAGCAACAAGCAAGTAAACGAGTAGGATGCACCGTTTTGTTTAACCTTCCTCAGTCAGCTGGCACACGTAGTATCGAACAAATATGAAGCCGCTTCCTCTACTTACCGGCAGAGCGACAAACTATACCAACTTGCGACATGCACTCGATTCACTACCACCGCTGTATAGTACCTCCTATGGAAGCACGCCAGCGACGTTATCTTCGGCTGGGCTGCAAGTGATAGTCTACTGTAGATGTCACACCGTATAGACACGTGGACAAGCAAATGATTGTCAACGTGTTTGAGTTAAACGAGCTGTTACCGGCGAATGCCTTCGTGTGGATATCAGCTGTTGTGTATTGCATAATCAAATCACGAGTTACGAGTCAAAGATGAATGTATTTGATGTCGACCGTCTGATTAATCAGATGGGAAATTTTATTTGTCAGAAAACGCAAGAGAAAGCCAATGAGATTCGCATGAAAGTACAAAGTCGTCGAATAGTTGCTTTTATCGTATTTAGGACGGGGAAAATAGAGTAAAGAAGCAAAAACCAGTGTTTCGTATTGAGGACTCGTGGACATTGGCAGCTTGATTTTTTTGCTAGACAAAGCAAGATTTTTATTACGAAAACATGCAGATGCTAGTGCATAACGCTCAACTTAAGCTTTAGGAAGAGTACAAACGCAAAGAGAAGGAGCATGAAGTATACAAGCACATGGGTGTAAGCTGATACTTTATGTTTCAATTGTTAAAACCAAGTTTTGACGGTTTTATTGATATGTACAGTGCTCGGTCGGCTGAAATTGGTGCTTCATGACGACAAAAAATGATCATTTTTAGGACGAGTTATTTAAGAACGTTTATTGTGAAGGGGTAAAGCCCGCTGAAGAACTAAACGACCTCGGACGACAAAGATATGGTTTTTTCTACGTGACCTCATCGTCCAGGGTCTGGTCAAGCTTTTTGAGACGGATGTAGTGGTCGCAGTACGTGCCAAGGACGTGGAAGTTGCTGAGATGGTGGTCACGGAAGCCACGGACAAGTACATTGCTACGATGAAGAAGGAGGCTCACTTTGGACGTGAACGAGGTCAAGGTGACGGTAAACAAGATCGGTGACGGCATGGTGCCGGACGCCAAGGCTGGTGATGTTGTGCTATACGCCAAGCAGGGCAAGGGGATCGTGTGTGACAACACGCTGGACACGCGCCTGGATCAGATCTATTACGATTTGAAGCCAACGGTGCGCAAGATGTTGTTCCCGACTCCGTAACTCTGGATTCTAGAAGGGAAGAGGCGTCATATTCATGCCGATGATACTGTCTCGACGACACCTATCACTACACAATACGGTAATCTAGTCGACTCGGAACGTTAACACTAACACCTAGCAAGGTTTTTGCCATTCTTCTTGACTGGTTATATACAGCACGCTTGCAATTGCGCTATGATGATTAAAGCCGATCTTGTAGTCTTCATTGTTGCCATTCTGCGCCTCCTTCGCATTCTTCGATACCAGTAGTAAGCAAGACAGGATACGAGTCACCATCCAAGAACAAGGAGCTAGTCTCGGGCATCCACATCGCCGAATAGGGCCCATACGCAACACTCACGAGATGCATCGAATCAAACTGTGTACACTGGAAATGCCAGTCAATAGCACACTGACCATCCAAAATGAGTTTCCATCGGGCCGAATCCCTTCGAATAAACTCGGCCCGTATCATCAAGAAGCCCAGACCAATGCCCATTGCCTTCATGTATGCCTCCTGGAGCGACCATAGTCGGTAGAATCGGGTATATTGACTATCTTCGTCCTCCATATCTTGAATGTAATCCCACTTCTTCCAATCAAAGTGATCAGTAAAAGCTCAAATCAAACTCCTCGGCGGACTTCTTATAAAGAGGTCGGTCTGTTAGTCGGACAACATTCTACGCCAACTAAAGTACGAGAATCACTAACAAGTGCCACGATGGTCCCACGATGAAAGACGTTGTGATTCCACAATGAAGGAGCAAGATTTCGAGTTGGTCGCCTTCAGTATGGGTTATTCTGCAACAAGTAACGACACAACTTATTATGTGTTTACTACCACTAATGATACGCAACATTATTCATCGACCGCACCTCAGGAGTACGTTGTATCTCGATGTTCTCGTAGTTTACATGGAAGAGTTCATGGATGAGCTGCTGCTACAGCAAACGGCTCGCGAGTGTCAACTTTTCATCCTTTGCAAACACAAAACGTGTCACCTGCTTTTGTTCCTTTGCCGAGAGCGGGAGCATAAGACGTTGTCCATTCAAGATGTTGAATTTCATTTGGAGACGTCGACGAAGCGTAGACAGTATAATGGTGACATGGGAAAAAAAGAAGAATGGAAGTGGACGACGATAAGTGAAGTGACTATGTCAAAAAAGTGATACATTGAACAAGTTAAACAACCAAAATATAGAGACCTTCGAAGCGGAAAAAGAACAACCGTTTGCACACTTAAGTAAGCCAACGAAGTCTCTCAAACAATCAAGTCCCGTAATGGCGTCATGTGAATTACGAGATGGTTGGCTGGAAGAGAAGGATGAATGTCTTTATTGCGTTACTATTTCTCTCGCTCAGCTGACATCCACACGAAGGCGTTCGCTCGTAACAGCTGGTTCAAGGCAAACACGTTGACAATCATTTGCTTGTCCACGTGTCTATACGGTGTGACATCTACAGTAGACTATCACTTGCAGCCCAGCCGAAGGATAACGTCGCTGGCGTGCCTCCATAGCAGGTACTCTCCAACGGTGGTAGTGAATCGAGTGCATGTCGCAAGTTGATATAGTTTGTCGCTCTGCCGGTAAGTAGAGGAAGCGGCTTCATATTTGTTCGATACTACGTGTGCCAGCTGACTGAGGAAGGTTAAACAAAACGGTGCATCCTACTCGTTTACTTGCTTGTTGCTGTTACTGATGCTGTTACTGTGGGTGCTACTGTTTTATTGAACGTTGTAATGTCTGCACAAGCGGCATTTCGTCTATAGTGAGTCGAGGAGCTAGGTATCTGTAAATAGACGTGTTCTTGGAAAGGCAAACAAGCTTTTTTAAAAAATGTCATAGCACATCGAGGAATTGACTACAATGTTTGCAAGGGCTGGCCTCTTACGATTGAATGGTGCCGATGCGACGGTACGAAAAAAAGACCAGGTGAAGAGAGGTTGTAAATGCTGCGCCTTTCGGAAAGGACCAGCGCTTGTTCACTGACGACATTGATTCAGTTTCAGTCGATAGGAATATGTAAAGAAATGGATAGGCAAATTAGCTCTCATAAAAATGACACAGCACATCGAGAGATTGATCGTTTATGTGGTGTAGACTCATGGAAATTGTTACAAATGTAAACGGTCTTCACAAATGTGATCGGTAGTAGTCATGTATGACGGATAAACCTTAGGTGAGAGGTAGTTTGACCCAAAGCTTGTCAATCCTGACCTTTGTATCAAAAAATACTTAAGATGTGGAATCTCTGACACTGTGAGTAAGTAATACTCCGCAGCTACATTCGGTATGCACATCATTGGAGCTCCGTCCGGTGTTTCTCGTATAGTCAAGAGTCGAAAAAAAGCTTTGAAATTCAATCAGACGAAATACCGAAGAAATGGCCAACGCAGATTCATTCTCAATTTTCTCCCATACTCCTCAAGCAGTCGATCAAGCATGCGTACATACCCTTTGCTCCTAGTGGCTGCCGTCACCCTCTCTGCCTATGCTGATGCGTCGTCAACACGATCAAGTTCGACATTCAAGCATCCAGCACTGTCTCATCAGCACGCTCCTCAGCGGCTTCTGCGAGGTGGGGCGGAAACAACCAACGAGGAAAGGGGAGGTAATCCCTTTAAAAAATTTCTATTTGGAAAGAAGAGTAATGATAATGAGGCGAGTAGTTCTGCGATAGAGCGTTATGAAGAAGCTGTGGCGAGAAGGCATTCGGAAGAATATATTGAAGAAGTGAGCAGGCCTGCGGTGGGAAGTCCTGAAGAAGTGATGTTGTATGTGCGCGAGGGTATTGATGAGAATGATCATATTAAAAGTTCTTCTCTCGCATTCAATAGTTACTTTAAGTGGTCACTTAAAGAGAATCCTGACGGATATTCGAAGGAAACGCTTGGATTCATGGCGAATGAATTGCTTAAATTGTGCCATTATGATTTTGAATCCTATTTACGGACGCTGAGATATCTTCCCACTTCAGATATACATTTTTTATATTCAATTGAGGATATGGTGACGTATGCACTTGAGGGGGTTGCACTTCTGAATTCGATGGCTTCTCCCGTGTTTTTTTTAGAAAGATTTACGAAAGTCACGTCGGCTGATGTGTTTCAAGAAACAAACTTCAAATTGTGGGTTTTGTATATGAAGGGGTATTCTAGTGCTCACAAAACAGATTTTTGGCAAGAAATTGCGTTTTCGATGAAACAGCATTACGGCCTTGATTTTTTTAAATACATCGTGCAAACTTCCTATCATATGAATGGTGAAGCTAAATATTTCGGTCAAAATTTAAAAAAATTCTTGTGAAAAATCTAAAAGATGACCTAGATAGTATTAGGTGTCAAGGAAGTTATAACACGCATTGACAAGCGGGTTCATAAACTTTAATACATTTATAATGAAAAAAACCGTTTGCCTTTTACTGCTTGATCTTTACGTAACGTTTAGAGCTGATGATTTAAGCTATTCTATATTCTCATTGATCGGTGAACCAGACTACCAGCATTCACGATCAAGCGTGTAAATCTTTTTTCTTTCTATAGAGTGCTACTCCTAGCGATCGCTTGGTTTGTCTGGCAGCCATTAAATTGAATCAGACAACTTCAACACCAAAGATCGCAATGTGGTCATACTGTAATTTATATCATACTGCTTGCAAATTCAAGTACAAGAACAAGCTAGTTTTGTAATTTCCCACTATCGCAAGATCCGCATCCACCTGCTCCTCATTTTCCCTTTTGCTTTGTCGTGCTCAAGAGACGTCACTTTGATTTTTGGATCCAAAAGCAGAATGGTGGTCTGGTCGCCATATAAAATGACAACAGCGTTTAGTGCGTTACTTGTCGTGGCTGCGCTTCAACCACACGTCGCTGCGAGTAACGGTTTTTCAATCGAGATGTCGCCCGAGGGCAGAGAAGACTCACATGATGAGCCCGTGTTACAAATAAAGGACGTGACAGCTCCTGATGCGTCTACGGACAAGTCGATTCCTGCGCCAACGTCTGCTTCGGGTCCACAGGACACACCCGACTTGCCGGATTACAAATGGTACTGGCACCATGGCGAGGACTCCATGTTCGCCCAGGACAGTGATGTGTTTAAGAACTTCAAGCCAAACGATACGGACCAGACGTGCTCGTTTGATACGCATGCTACGCCTTTCAATAAACAAGTTCGTGGTGTAAATCTCGGCGGTTGGCTCGTATTAGAGCCATGGATCACGCCTTCACTCTTTTACCAGTTCTTGAACACGCAGCAACGATTTGGAGACAAAGCTCCCGAGAAAACAGCAATGGATACGTATACGTTCTGCACGGCACTTGGAAAGGAAGAAGCGAATCGACAGCTACGTATTCATTATGACAATTGGGTCACGGAGAAAGATATTGCTGCACTTGCTGCAGCAGGTATCAATTCGCTTCGTATTCCTGTTGGTGACTGGATGTTTAATCCTTACGAACCTTTTTCTGGCTGCACAACGGGTGCCGTCGATGCGCTCGACCGTGTCGCTGACCTTGCACTTAAGTACGGCCTTGACATTCTATTGGATATGCATGGACTCATTGGTTCCCAGAATGGATTCGATAACAGTGGCAGGTCTATGTCTGTCAAGTGGACGTCCATTGCTAGTACGCAACCTGTGGGAACGACTACTTTTGAGCATTGGCCTATTCGTCAAGCCGAATGGGCTGGTACGTTTGATGTCGAGAACCACAATTATTCAAGCATCAACTACTCGAACCTAAACCATTCAATTGTGGTTGTCGAAGCAATTATTAATCGATACAAGGGACACGAAGCTATAATGGGAATTGAGCCAGTGAATGAACCGTGGGAACTTACACCTATTAAAGTACTTAAAGAATACTATTGGAAGTCGTACAAGCGAGTAAAGGCTCTCGCACCTTTGTGGAAGTTCATTATTCACGACTCATTTCGTTTCGGACTGGTATTCTGGGCTGATTTCCTCCGAGGCTGCCCCGATATCGCGCTCGACACGCACATTTATCAAGCTTGGAATTCACCTGGAACGATTGAAGATTTTTTTTCAAACGCTTGTCAGCAGAAGTATGTCATTACCAAGATGGAAGATGCCATGATGCCCGTTATTGTAGGCGAGTGGTCGATCGGCACGGACAATTGTGCAATGTGGCTGAATGGCTTCAATGACAATTTGCCAGGCTTCCCCAAAGTCCAATGCCACATGGTAGACTGTCCTATAAACAGCACGTATCTTGGCGACGGTTTTCCAGGTACTCCTTTGGACGAGACTAAGCCGATTCAAGGCCCATATGGCACTGGCATGTCTGGACCGTCGTTCGGCAAGTGCCCTGTTACCAGTCAGAACTCTTTTCACCAGCATGACGATGCTGCATTAACCAGGGCGTTAACTCTGAAAAAGCTAAATGGTTTTGCTGTTGGTCACGGGTGGTACTTTTGGAACTTCAAAACGGAATTCGCTACAAAGTGGAGTTTCTTGGACTTGGTTCGTCAGGGCGCATTCCCCAAGAACGTGTCGAATTACCACAGCGATGACGGTGTTGAGACGGCGTGCAGGAAGGAGGACAGTGGTGACTTTGTTTGCCATGCAAAGCGCGGTGTTGAAGAATTTGAGCTCAAGAGCGGTCTTGCATTTGCGTGCAATTACCCAGAGATCGACTGCTCGGACATCAAGAAGCGCTTCCACACCTTGGAAGAGCAATGCGACTGGGCATTTGACCAGTATTGGCATCTCAACCGCGAAAAGGGCGCGACGTGTGATTTTGGTGGAGCTGGGCATCTGCTCAACGTGACGATCTCTACTCCCAAAGAACTCCCTTCACATACTCAAACGTCCAAGAAGGTGAAGCCAAGCCATTTACTCGCATCAGTGGCGAAGTGGAGTTTTGCAACCATCATGGGTGTCGTTGCCCTTGCTCTGGTGGCAGTTGGCGCTGCGATCTTCGGCGTTGTGCGTTGGCGTCAGCACCGTGTGCGCCGCCAATATTCACCTATCGGAGGTCGTCTGTAAGCACGATTGACAGCTCGCGAGTCATGAAAGCGAAATTGAGAGTGAGGAAGCCATGTCGTCAGAATGATTGAAAAGGATTACTTAGGGCACACCAGTTTTAAACAACCAAAGTTGAAGGCTGTAAAGTAATGATCCTTGCACAAACTCGTTTGCCCATAGCGAAACATTCCTTGCAAATTGTAGTTGTTGCAGTTGCATTCAACACTAGCGAAAGTATCAAGAGGTACAAATATAGTATTAGCAAACAACAGATATTAATGGCAGTCCTCCTCATTACATACAGTCAGCGATTAACCTTGCTAAACCTCGTTAAAATGTCTCCCTCTACAAGCAATAGCGTATACGTTCATACTGACCCTTTAACTTTTAAAGACGCGAGGAATACGGAGCTACACCTTACGCCAGAGCGCACATGATAAAGCAAAGCGATGCACTCCTTGCATTCTAGATCTCAATAAACAAGCACGTCGTATGGCCTCATGTACTTCTGCGCAAACTGCAGACCAATCCGTGTCGGTTGTGCAAAGGCAACAACATTCTTGGCTACTCGCATGCCATAGATTGACTTCTCACGTACGATATCCACCAGTCGGGTCGCAATGGACCTCTTGCGATACGACGGGTGTACCCAGATCTGGCAAATACCGACAAGTGCAAATTGTGACGTGGCAGATGCAGTGACAACACTTTTTTTAACAATGGAGCTCTCCTTGTCAACCTTCACCATGTTTGACAAGCTCTTGTCCAGCGTAAAAGCTTCAGTGATGCGTTCCGTATTGACACATCCAACCACCTGCTGGTCTTGAATATAAACAAAGTGGCTGCGTTGCAAAAACACGTCCTCCAAGACAAACCCCAGTGCGTCATCGAGTACTGCTTTGATCTCCAGCAGCTTCTTTACCTGAAATCTAGGATCCTCGCGTCGGATTTCTAAAATCCGTGCTCTAGTGTCCGAAAACGTCTTAAGAATTCTCTCCGTTTTCCATTTTGAAAACGAGACGCCACGCTTCATCCGCTTGCAAAATTTCTGATGTTCCTTTTCATCCTCCTCTTCTCCAGCAGTGTACAATAAACCACACGAGAGGCAGGTCACGTGCGTACCAAAGTTACGTTGTCCCACATCAATATACGACTGCGTAAAGGGATATTTTTCGCTTGACAATTTTTTCTTCTGATTTTTTGCCGGCGTGATCGTCGACTTGACGACTCGATTGTGGGCAGCGGGTGAAAGCCACAACGACATTGCAGAGCTCTTCTTGATCTTTTTCTCTACGAAATTTTCGGCGGAATTATTGTCGTTACGCTTGCGTTTAGAAATGACGTCATTAGGACGTATGAAAATGTCATTTACGGTCGTCATTGCTATGGTATCGAAAAGGTTTATAAATTGCGTTCTGCCGTCGAAAATTGCGCGGGAATTTTTTGCATACAAAGTGTAAGACACACACACGAAAAAACGAGTGTGACAGGGAGTGCGTATACAAAGGGGTTGTAATTATAACCTATGAAAGAAGAAACTACGATACCGCATAACTTGTATCGCGATAACTGAAATAACGGGTGGTGTAGAGCTCTCCTATTCATGACGTATGAGAGCAAGGTCACTAAAGATTTTGCATCTTGTCCCACAAGCCCCTCTTAACCTCGTTTACAATGACTTCGCTCGGAGATTACCGTGTGGCGGACATTTCGCTAGCTGATTTTGGTCGGAAGGAGATTGAAATTGCACAGATTGAGATGCCGGGTCTCATGCAAAGCCGCTCAGAGTTCGGCCCACAAGAGTCACTAAAAGGCGCTCGTGTGGCTGGCTCATTGCACATGACCATTCAAACAGCTGTACTTATTGAGACCCTCAAGGCCTTGGGTGGTGATATTCGATGGTGTTCGTGCAACATCTTTTCAACGCAGGACCACGCTGCTGCTGCCATTGCTCGTGACGGTTCCGCTGCAGTCTTTGCCTGGAAAGGTGAGACCCTTGAAGAGTACTGGGAATGCACGTTAAACGCCATCACGTGGCCTTCAGATGATGGCAAGGGTGACGGCCCAGACATTATCGTGGATGACGGTGGTGACATGACGCTTCTTATTCACGAGGGCTTTAAGGCTGAAAAGCTATTTGCTGAGAACGGAACGCTGCCCGATGCTAGCACGACGGACAATGCTGAGATGAAGTGTGTGTTAAACATTATTGCTCGTACTCTCAAGATAAACCCTAAAAAGTGGACACAGATTGCCCAACGTTGCAAGGGTGTGTCCGAAGAGACTACCACGGGTGTTCACCGTCTTTATCAAATGGAGAAGAACGGCACGCTACTGTTCCCTGCAATCAACGTGAATGACTCAGTCACCAAGTCTAAATTTGACAATCTATACGGCTGCCGTCACTCACTACCTGATGGCATCATGCGTGCCACAGACGTCATGTTGGCTGGCAAACGCATCGTGATTTGTGGCTTCGGTGATGTCGGCAAGGGTAGCGCTCAGGCCATGAAGGCCGCGGGCGCGGTCGTCTACGTAACTGAGGTAGACCCTATTTGCGCCCTTCAGGCGTGCATGGAAGGCTTTCAGGTGGTACGTCTTGAGACGGTTGTCTCCCAGGCGGACATCTTTATCACTACGACGGGTAACAAGGACATTATCATGGCTAAGGACATGCTTAAGATGAAAAACAATGCTATCGTCGGCAATATTGGTCATTTTGACAATGAGATTGACATGGCTGGTGTGACTGAGATCGCCAAGCGCCAAAACATCAAGCCACAGGTGGACCGCTTTATTTTTGAGGACGGCCATGCTGTCATAATCTTGGCTGAAGGCCGTCTTCTTAATTTGGGCTGCGCTACGGGTCACCCGTCCTTTGTCATGTCCAATTCATTTACGAACCAGACTCTAGCTCAGATCGAGCTATGGAAGGAGCGTGACACTGGCAAGTACGTCACTGGCAAGGTGTACGTGCTACCCAAGGAACTGGATGAGAAAGTTGCCCGTTTGCACCTGGACAATTTAGGCGCTCAGCTTACCGTGTTGTCGGACGATCAGGCCGAGTACATTGGCGTGAAGCCCACGGGCCCGTTCAAGCCGGCGGCCTACCGCTACTAAGCGGTTTGTGTCTGCTTTTGCTGATTTGATTCATGACTCAAACTTCTGCTGAGTGCTGTTATTGTTTGGATCGAGACAGAGATAGCACATCCAATGGAATGTCTTTCATTGTGCTGAATGCGTCTTATGATGCTTGTCCACCACAATGCTCTGTTTAATCCACATCGTAAACGTACTACCAAGGAAAGCTGCTATCGGAATTAGAAACTAATGGTTAGCATTCGCAACCTGTTCGTCACTTCAATCTTTGTATTTGCTATTGTTTCGTCCTTAGTACTAAGACTTTTCATATGAAGATAACGATAAGCAATGCTACGATTAGCAACAGGATAATCACGTAGTAGCAGCCAAGTTCGCGGTGTGCGCGGGTAACTTTGCGTGCTGCTTTTGTCTGTTGTTGCAAGGCAGCTTCCGTTTCGTTCACTTGCACGGCTACCTCGTCCAGCATAGCATTTTGTGACAGGACTTCTTCGTTCGTGGCGTCAGCTGCGAGATGGAGTCGCATGACGCCGGAATAGATAGCATCCAGTTGTTGATCCTGAATTGGGACAGACACAATGATTTCGTTTAGCTTTTCATATAATGATGCAGGCTTCATGAGCTTTGACAAACCTGGGTCCGTGTAGCCTTGTCCATCCGATCCTGGATCTTTGGCGTCGAGATCTCCTCGAAATCACCTGTAGGTTCTGCCTCTCTTAGCGCGCCATCCTCCATCATCATTATCTCGTCACTCGGCGACTTAAGCTGTTACCGTGTTGGTTAGCGCTTCCTTTTTTATCGTCGCGTCCCAAGGATGGAAATACATTGCTACCCCAGCAATACGCAATGGCGTTTCAAATGTCTATTATTGATCATGCACGAGGCGACTGACTCGAGCGATTAGTTGTCATTAGTGGTATTCATATACTTCTTGAGTGGAGCAACAGGGAGCGGAGTGGCCATCATGTCGTCAAGGTCCTCGTTTTCCAGAGTGAACGGTGTCTTTGCCTGACGGAAAAGGTGTCGCGGGCGAGGACACAGCACCAAAGCAGTTATCTTACCTTTAAATAGCTTGACGGTGCGTAGCGACTGGCGGCTTAGACAGTCCCACACGTGCACAACACCGTTTACGTCTCCGGACACGAGAAATGCACCACTGGCATGAATCTGCAACGTGGTGACACTGCTTTCATGGCCATCGAACGAATCCGGTAACAAAGCCTCCGGGCCCCACGGCGAAACGTTGCCGCCGTTGCCAGCAACCAGACCTGTCGAAGCGCTAGCAATGCGTGCTGAAGCAGCAGTGACGGAAGTTGCAGCCGCGTTCAAGTCCAACGCGTAGATTCGGCCATTGCCGCAGCCCATGTAAAGACGCTGCTCCATGGGGTCTGCAACGCATGAATTGACGTAGGACGGGCAGGACACGCTATATATACACTGAGACGAATTGAGCGACCAAATCTTGCACGTGCGGTCCAGAGACGACGTATAAATACGGGCATTTACACCACCGAGACCAACATGCAGCGAGGTGACAGGAAGTACGTGGTCCGTAAAGCTTACAAGAGGGGTCACACCTTGCTGAAAGCTAGTAGCGGCATTCGGTTCGTCCAGCAAGTGTACCAGTTTCCAGACATGCACTAAAGCATCTTCGCCAGCTGTAATCAAATGTGAATCATCCGACGTCAATCCCAGTGCTGATACGCGCTTGTAATGAGCATCGAATACGGTCACTAACTCTCCAGTTTTAACGTCCCAGACGTAAACTTTGCCTGATTCTGCACCTGCAAAGAGAAAATTGCCACAGCTTGAGGTTGTGACAGGCCCCATCTTCTCAGCCACGTGGCACTTATACACAGGCATGTCTTTGCCCCAATTATAGAGATTCAAAGCCAATTTGCCCTCCTGTACAGCTATTAAATGGTCGGTTCGAGGCATTGCGTGGACGCCGTTTTGTGCCGATCGACAATTTTTAAAACAGTACAATTGACTCCCAGTGGATGCATCAACGATAAGCAATTCATTCTCCTGATTAGAGCTTATTAAGAGCACGTGGTCTGCTAATGCAGAGGTTGCCATGCTTCTAATGTATTCAAATGGCTTGAGCCTTAACGACCAATACCTTCCATCTCTCTGATTGGTAAGAAATAGAGCTATTAGTAACTATGTGTGTTATGATTCGCTGAAAATCGATCTAAATCTGCGACGGGTGTCGTTTTTGAATTGGTGGTGGTAATTGATTATGGGACGTGAAGGTCGCGACAAGAGGAAGAAGCAATGGATGGGCGGTCGTGATGGAAACACTAAGCGTCATAAAGGGACTCTAGCTGCTGCTACGAATGCTAAAGGTCATGGTGCAGTGCTAGTGACGTGTGATAAAATTAAGGAGAGACAAAGTGTCAGTGATGCGCTTAATATTTTGAACGAAGCGGCTGATCGCTTTTTCCCGCTGACTGAGAAGCGAAACGAGGAGGAGGAGAAGAATGCAACGGAAGAAGGAGAAAGTTCAGTGCAGAAGAAGTTGCAGGAGGAGGTTGCGGAATTGCAGACTCAGGCAAAGAATCGACAGACGGGCAGGTTCACGCCACTGGATACCGGAGTCAAGGGCGCTGTGCTGATCCAATTTAAGGACGATAACTTGTCTCCTATAGATTTGTTGAGAAAGATCTTTGAACATGTGGAAACCACGAAGGAATTTGCGTCCCGATTTATTACGAGGATGATCCCATTGGAAAAGGTTGGTTACGCAAGCGTGGAGTCTATGAAGGAGCTCGCTGCCCCGATGATCGAAGCGCACTTGAAGGCTTTTAAGGAAGAACAGCAGGCTGCAGTCACCGACGAGATCTTTACCTTTGCGGTGGAGTTTAAACGACGCAATTGCACCAACATTAACAGCATGGAGGTCATTGATGCACTGGTGGAACTGGTGGGAGATGACAAAACCAAGGTGAACCTGACATCACCCCGCTTTGTTTTGATGATTGAAGTGTTTCGAAACACGTGTGGCTTCAGCGTTTTGTCAGACTTTCATCGATTCAAAAAGTACAATGTGCGCTCAATTATTGACCCTCCTGTCCCTGGCCAGCAGACTGCTAAGCAGACGATCAAGGACTGCACGACAGAAACGAAAGATGATGCGGTGAAACCCGATGACTTGACTGATGAGGAAATAGACAAGGATGATACACGCACCAAGCTCAAGAATGACAAGCTGGCTGAGGAGGCATCGAAGAAATAGTTGTTGGTTTCTATTTCAATTTGTTATATGACCTCAATCTAATAACTTCTATGCTACGAACAATTACTATACGAGGTTGAAAGACGAATCAGATCTAGTGATTTCTTCATAAAGCAGCTTATAGCTGCATCAGAAAATGTAGATAAGATTTAAAAATCATCATCTTCGTCCTTCAATTTTCTCGCATCATACCAGCATAGAACATGTGCTTCACCTTAAGAGTGTATGGAATGTCTTGAGAACGGATCTGTCGTTTGTTTTCATGCTCATACTTGAATTCAGAGAATGTAGATTAAGAAATACTTATACATCATCTCCGTTCATCAAAACTTTTCCGATACACTCTCGTCCTCTGCACAGCACCACTCAATTTCATACATCCTTTAAACCATATCGTCCAATATACCTGTCAGCATAAACAAAAGCCCAATGCCAAGATCGTAGGTTGAATTCAATGCAAACTAAAGAGAAAAAGGAACAGCCATTCCCTTTCCTCATATTCTGCATGTTCAGTATTTTCAAGCAAGACGCGACGTCATCAGCCACGCATAATCTAGTACCTGCTCCTGGTCCGATTACACAGCGCCCCAAATAGCCACGATCAATCCTAACTCGCCGATCTTCCAGTCTACCCTTCTACTCTTAATTGACTCGAATAGAGACTAGCAATCAATTCACAGGAGCGAGAAACCTGTGTTGACAAGTTTCCATCGCTTAAACTTATTCGTCCTAAATATCCACATTAATTGTGAGAGATAATCAAGTAAATAGCCGCTTCTAGCAATAATAGGGCTACCTTGTCCTTGTTCTTGCGGTTGCGGTGCTTCTTGTCAAATTTTTTGGCCCAGTGTTGATTGCGCAGGAACTTAGGGTCCAGCTTTACCATTAGCATCAAATAATAGAGTCAGGTCAATGTCCTTGTGGTTTTTTCAAACTATTTGGGTTTCAAATGTTATAAGGATGGACGTACGCCACGTGTCGAGTGGAAGCGGTGGTTTTTCGGCTTCTTAATACCGTTCCGGTGGGCCTTCACCGTGTTGTTACGGGCCGTGTGGTTTTTCTGCTTGACCATTGGGACGTCGGAGTGGCTTGGTTTTACTACTGTGGCAAGCTTTTAGTCAGGGTCTTGGGATCAAACGCTAGCCACCAGTCAATTCGAGAGAATGTACTCCACATTTATATACGTACAGCACACTATTTGGTTATTTAAGGATGGCTCTTTTGCGTGGTGTGGTGCACTCTGGATTAACATGATTTTATGTGTCAAGAAGGGGAGTCGCTTGTATAAGTACACACTTATTCGTGTAGACGATACCTTACATACTAACACCATGGACCCTTTTGGAGATGACACTAGCGTAAAGAATGGCGTATCCATGGCGATTTCCGACTTTGTACCACCCTCAAATACTAGTGGAGAGTGCGTTGTAGTCTAAGGATCGTGTCAAGTCTTCTTTCAGTTGACGTTTTTGTCATTTAAAAAATGTGTTTGCAACAGTTTTTACGAGGTCGAGCCCACGGAAGATACGAGAACTGAGACGTACGAGGATCACTTTCAACACATGGAAGAGAGCTATGAGCCAATGGACTTTGGTGTTCAAACTCCAGTCGTGGAAGAGGAGAATGAGCTCACGTACGCTCGCAAAACAGGATACGACCTGATGATTCGTATGATATTAATAAATTACTTACTGTTTTTATGACCTGATAGAAAATTTATGCAGGAGTACGAGAAACAAATTGCGTTGAAGGCTCAGGAGCAAGAAAAGGTGGCAGATGAGTGCAAAGTCAAGGCTGAGGATGATATGGCACAGTTCGTAGCTGAACGCCAGCGCATAAAGGAGTCCAAGATGCAGTCCAATCGCGTGTTTGAGCAAGCGGCAATTGAAAAGATGGTGGCCGATTTGCAGAATGAGAACCCGTGGGAGCGTGTGGTGACACTTGTGGACCTGGAGACGAGCCGCAAGAAGAAGCTCGAGGCACTTAACAGTAAAAAGGACTCGGAAAAGCAAGACCCTCAACCAGTTGCGGTGCCTGCTAAGAAGACCCCAGAGGACGAGAAGGATGTCTCCCGGATGCGACAGCTGTTTGTGCAGTTGAAGACCACGCCACTCGAGCAGACGCGAGCTAACGCTGTAGCAGCTAACTAGCATCGTTTGTAGGCAAAACGCTTTAACGCTCGTAATGTCAGCGGCACCCGACGAATACGGTGGTGGCGGTGCCATACAATGCACCCGTTTTATTTCTTGTATCAACTACATATATGCTGAAATGCATTACAATAATGTCTTAAATTCGGAAGATGACTTGAAATGCAGACACACACTAGAAAAAAGTATCTATTGTAATTCAAATTGGATTGTATGTAAGCTCGCAATTGTTGCACACCGGCCACGGAGGAGTAAGGCACAGCGTGAAAGCAGGCGAGCTAAATTGACTTTGGCACCAAAAAAAGAACTGCTCGGATGGAAAAACCAAGTGAACTTCTGTGAGGTGCTATCGAAAGGTTCCAAACTTTTCCAAATGAAAATGAAAAATGTGGTAAGGTTTAATGTACTGCCACGTGTCAGATGCCAGTCATTTGTTTATGTTAATCTCAGGAAGCCATACAAGCAATGGAATACGAGAAAAGATAAATGTGCGACGTGTGAGAATCAGGTATCTAAATTGTAACAGGGCATCTAGTTACACGTAAACATTATTATACTAAATGTTTGGTCTAAAAGTATCCATGATTACTTTGACCTGTCACTTGGGTGCGATACACAAATGTGATCCACCCTCGTGAATGTGATATCCATTTGATGGATTCACATGGGAAGGGATGACGCTAGTTGAAGCTAGGCATCGCGACGTCTCAGAAGGACGTCAGTTGCGATCTTAAATCTAGATTTAAGATCATGCGACAGGATACGCTTCTAAAGAGTCGTGTATCCGATCTACATATATATATACCATATATAGCCAATCAGTAGTTAAGTATATATTTAGTTATAATTAATTAAATATAGCTCAGTCTTGAATTTGAAGCACCACGCACGAGAAGCTGAAAAAGCTTCTGCGTGACATCGGTGACTTCTTGTTTAGAAGTTCGTTGCACTCTCGCTTGGTTGGTACGACTGCTTAAGCAGTCGTACCAACCTCCTAACCACTCTCGCACGTGAAGGTAAGACGGTATAACCGCTTCCTCGCTTGTGCATAAGGTGTGTGCTAGTAGCATGAGGCAACTTCGTAGAAGTTCCCGTCTACACTTGGTAGCACTAGTAGTCCTTCCACGACCCGTCTCTCTGAGCGTTCGTGGTGTTGAGATGGTCCTTAATATGGACTGGAATGATTTTCCTCACCTCTCCCAACATCATAGGGAGTTGGCAGAGCATATGGCGCAGGGACTTGGTGAACAAGCCCTGGTCAACCTCTTGCATTGTCCTACTGAGCAACATGTTGCTCAGTTGGAGCATTTGAGGCATTTGTGCTCGTACAGCGTAGAAACGCGTCCGAGGTAAACAGCCAAGCCACCGCTGAGTCCATCACTAAGACTCAGGATGAGCTTAGGCTTGAGCAGGCACGTAATGAGGCGCTCAACAGAACTGTTGAGACGCTCTCTGCCCGGCCTGCTCAACCGAGGCCCATTCGAATGGACCCTCCGAAGCTCGATGGAACTATCCCTCACACGATTGTTCACTGGCTATTAGCAGTTGAGCAATGTGGAGTGGCGCAGCTCATCGAAGACGACACCAGAATGGTGTCGTATGCTATGTCCAACTTGCGTGGCAAAGCGTCAGAGTGGGCATACTCTGCGCTGATGGCTAATGCTGATGCATTTCCATCATGGGTGATCTTTAAGGCAAAGATTCGTGCCATGTAACAGCCGCCTAACAACGAAGTGTTTCTTATGGCGCGCTTCTTTGGAGCACGACAGGCGAAACGCTCTCTGCAAGAGTTTGTGCAGGAGATGCGTTCGCTGTCGGCGTCCATCAATGGGGAACCGATACCAGAGCGTATCAAGGTGGCCACGTTCATGAATGGACTTAGGCACGGCCCATCGCGTCAGGCCCTTTTTAGAAAGGTGCCAGCGACGATGGAAGAGGCAATTGACATTGCCTTAGTTGAGGAGCAATCCTACAACAGCACCTCGGCGACAGCCTATTACAGGCCGTCGGCCGAAAGGTCTGATGCCACTCCTATGGAGTTAGGCAATGCAGATGTGATCTGCTACAAGTGCGGCAAGGGAGGCCATATGATGGCTCGCTGCTATGCCAAAGTAGCTGCTGGTGCTAAGGCAGCCATCAAAAGGTCTACCAACCCGAAGGGAGGTGCTAAAAACCAGCGTGCACGACGCACGGGTTCAGCACCTTCCCAAGATGGGTCGGGAAATGCGGGGCGCAGTAGGGGCGGGATGCCCTACTGTCGCGGACTCTGAAGCTACCCCTAAGTTCAGAGTGATCGAGCAAATGGGTAGCATAGTCCCTGAGGTTCCGAAAGGTCGGACCTCAACCCTTTTGGTCTATATCGCTCGAGTACGAGGCTATTACCAAGTGATGACCCTTCTCGTGGATTCGGGTGCATCACAAAACTTTGTGAAACTCGCGGCTCTGAAAAAGAGACCGGCGAGTTATGAGTCGCTTTGCCAGGATGGCAAGCGAGAAGAGGCGATCGTTCGTTTAGCGAACGGCGCGCTCGTCAAATCGGAGGGAGTTTAAGTTGAACTCGCCTTCAGTTTCAGTGACTTCTCTTGTAAAGAGAAGTTCACAGTGCTAGGTATGGAGAGTCCGTACGGCCTCATCCTAGGCATGCCTTGGTTGGCTTAACACCAACCATGGATAGACTGGCGTACACGCACAGTCGCTAGCTCTACGCAAGACACCGGAAAGGATGTGCTCTTGCGAGAGGATTATGTGGCTGATGCTGTGTCCAACACAGTCGAGGGTGCGATGACGGTATGTCAATCGACACCAGGAACTACCCAGCTCGAAAGGAGTGGTGTAGCTGTGAGTGAACTGGCGGAAAGCCAGGTGACACATATTCCTACCCAGGTCGAAAAGACTGGTGTAGTGAATGGGGCGATGACAGGTAGTCATGCGTCCAATAGTCCTGCACAGAGCCGAGAGCCTGTGGCAGTTGATGGTGGGCTGACAGGAAGTCAAGCGCCACAAGAATCGGCACAGAGCCAAGAGCCTGGTGCGGTTGGAAGGAGTGCGTTAGCTGAGATAGCAACGACACCTTCTTCCAGGTCAAAGGTCGTGGTGTCTCGAAGTACGGGCACCAGACGTATTAAGACGATCAAGGGCACGTCGAAACGAGTTACTCTTGGATCAGTCTCGGTCCAAGAGGACGGACCTACGAACGAGTTGCTCGAGGCCGTCGAAGACAAAATGCCGGAGGCATCCTCAGTTGAGGTGCTCTAACTTGTCTTGGCATCTGCCGAGGAGATAGTAAATCTCTCGGAGATGACGTGAGATCTGTTGCTGTCCGGATTAAAGGAAGGAACGATCCACGAGATAGTCGCACCAGTTCCAGAAGAGAACGTGGTGAACTGTTGCTCTTCATCCACAATGGATGAGAGCGTCTTGGAGACTGACCAGAAGAAACGATTTGCTGCTCAAGACTGGGATGCCTTGAATGACAGCCCGTTCTATGATGTTCTGTAGAAACACCGTGATGTGTTTCCAGCAGAAGTGCCGAGCCGCCTACCGACCGATAGGGGCATCAGGCACGAGATTGACCTGGAACCTGGCACCAAGTATTGTGTGACCAGGCAATGACCGTTGCCGAAGGAACAGGTCAATTATATCGATGAGTTCTTTGACAATCGAGCTAAGGTGGGACATCTACGTGAGATCAAGTCGCCTCACTGCAGCCCGACCTTCTGTGTGCGTAAAGCAACGGGTGGATGGCGCGTGGTTCATGCTTATAATAAGCTGAACACGGCCACCATTCCGGCTCAATCGCCGATCCCGCGGAAAGATGTTTTGTTGAATTCCATGGGAAAGTCAACTATCTTTTCCGCGTTCGATCTGAAGGATGGCTACTATCAGGTTCTCATGAGAGATACCGATGTAGCCAAAACGGCAGTAAGCACCCCAAGCGGTATGCTATGGGAGTGGCTTGTGATGCCACAAGGGTTGAAAAATGCTCCGGCAACATTCAACCGAGTGGTGTCTCACGTGATGCGTCAGAGCCGTGACTACGCGCCCCATTACTTTGACGATGTATTCGTGCATAGTAGGGCGGAGGACGGTCTGAGCGCAATAGAGTCGCACAAGCGTCATTTAGACACTGTGTTGCAGAATCTGGGTGAAGCTCAATTGTACGTTAACTTGCAAAAGTGCGTAATAGGGGTCCCCAAGATACCTGTACTGGGCTGCATCGTAGGTACACATGGTGTACGAGCAGACCCAGAAAAGGCAAAGGCTGTAAAGTAATGGCCAGTCCCACGACATGTGAAGGACTTGCGCCAGTTTTATTGGCTCCCTAATTGCTTGCATAAGTACAGCAAGAATTATGCGGAGAGAACTAAGCCATTGTCTGACCTTTTAAAAAGGATACAGAATGGACTTGGTCAAAGGAGCAAGAAGATGCGTTCACATCAGTGAAGCAATCTCTTGTATAGGCACCGGTCTTGGCATTGCCAGACGCGGATAAGCCCTTTAACGTCGTCTGCGATGCAAGCAATTTTGCAATCGGCAGCGCACTCAAGCAAAAGGATGACAACGGCGTTGACCGTGTCATTTCGTATCAGTATCGGCTTTCAAATATACTGCCGAGATGAATTACCCTGTGCATGACAAGGAGCTACTTTCAATGAAGTATGCCCTTGTAAAGTTTCGGGTGCACCTCTTGGGCACCGAACCTTTTGTGGTTTATACGGATCACGCATCACTGCGGACCGCTATAAATTCACCGCACCTCTCGTCGAAAATGGCGAGATGGCTAACATTCTTTTCTGAATTTACTTTCAAAATTGAATATAAGCCGGGTAAGTCGAATGTCTTGGCTGACGCGTTATCGCGCAGACCAGACTTCGAGGCAAGACACCAGGAAAGTGTGTCTAGTGCGAAAGCACAAGTTGAGTCGTCAACATTGGCATCCATGAAGGCCTACCATGTGACGAGCTCAATGGCCTACAATATAAATGAGTGTTACAGTCAGG